CCATGCGTCCTGATGGCAGGACGCATTTTTTGACAAAAAAAATGTGCATGGTCCCACGCAGCGGACAAGCAAAAATAGGCTGGTCGTCAACGTGTTAATATAGGTCTGGTCTTATATTGTGGTTTCACTTCTGACAACCACTGGGAAGTGTAAGTATCAGCTGATACCAATGGACATGATGGAAATGGTGGTTTTGGAAGTGATGGCTTTAATGGAAGTGATGCATGGTACATAAATAGAAAGGCATATCACAGTAGAATCTTATACTTTTCAGCTTGTGGAACTCGATTAACAATTAGCCGACCATCAAAACTCAGAGATGCAAATGTCCATGCATCTGCACTTGACCATTCAATTGCATACACTGAATCTTCATGTTCTTCATACTTGGCCAGCACCCCATCCTCCAACTTTCTCTGCCTGTAAATCACACAATACACTGGGCAGTCACAACTGATGCAAGGATAATCATTATTTCAGTTAATCCCTCTTATCAACTACATGTTCCAATAATCACAATCACTTATATTCATAATTTTTAAGTTTCCAGATCAACAGGAAAATGAATTACAAGAGAGAAGCAATGAATTTCAAAGCTATCCTAAAAAAAAAATGACGAAAAGTAAGACACAGACTTCTCTCCAGGATCTTGAGCTTCATCATCTTCATCTTCAGAGTCTAGTTGGTTCAAAGGCTGAGAAGATATGGAGACAGCTGACAAGAGAATGACTCGGAAGTCACTACTGGATGTCAGAACAAGCTCATCATGAAAGGGATTATACTTCACATTCCAAACCCTGAAAAGCATAGGGCCAGTAAGCTTCACTTCATTGGGTGCAATTATACAGCCAATGTCCCTGCAGGGATATGAATAAGGTATCTGAGACTTATAAGATGGTGCAGACCAGTGAGAGTGATCCTTCCGAGATACAACAGGAAGCTTGGGATTGCGGAGATCCCAAAATTTGGTCTTGCAGTCATCCCCACAGCTTGCTAGGTAATACTGCCGATTCTGGTTGAAATCTAAGTCCCTGAAGAGTATATAGGAAGCAATAGCTACACATATAGATGTTAAATATCTTAAGGAGGAGGAAAAATGAACAGAAGAGCAGAGAACCTGACAAGTACTTCATGAGCATCCTCAATAACATGAGAGGGAGCCATGGATCTGAGATCCCAGGTGAGAATATTCCCATCCACAGCAATCCCAATTTGAGTTGCTTCTTGATGGCTGTTCCAACTTCCTTTTACCACACGACTCTCCTCCTTGCTGCACACATTCCCATTTCCAACTTCCTGCATATGGTACTTGAGGCTTCATACCCCATATCTCCAGCCTGACTGCACAACTGATGCTCAAGTGTTCAACAGGATGAAGGAGAGAAGGGAACATTACCTTGCATGTTTGAGATGAAGAAGAACCTTGGACATCCCACAGATGGATTTCTTGATCTGTCAAGGTCACCACCTTTGCTCCTGTACATGGCTCCCACAGGCAACAACTGAAATTGAGACACCATACCCTCATCACAAAATAGAGCATGGAGAGATAAGAGACTATAGAGATTATACAGCAAATGGCATGTAAACTACATGAAAAGTCCAAATATAAACTCATAATTTAGTATGAAACTTGGCATAGTAAAGTATGCCTTTTGCACAGTTTCTTCCACATACCTGACTTGACCTGAATACCATCAATACAATACTCCATACCATACCTCACAGTATTGACAAAGCAGAAAACTTTTAATGTCTGTAGTCCTAGATGCAGGACATAGTTCGTGCAAATTCTGGCAAAATCCATCTTCATTATCATACAATTTAAACTATACAGGGTGTCCCAAAAGGTATGGAAACATTTCAAAAATTAATATCTCTCTAAATTATGCCTCAAATAAAATTATGAAAACAGTAAAATAAAGTGCAACTCAAACATTTTTCAACCTGCTATTGCAATTCCACATGGGCACCATTTGTGATTCTATAGATGTCTAAGCGATGTTTGAACTCTTACCACACCTTTTGCAGAGTGTCAGGCATAACTATCAGGACAGCTTGGATGATTCTGTTCTTTGGATCCTGATCAATTGTCTCCAGTAAGCGATGTCTTTGACATAGCCCACAAGAAAAAGTCCTCTAGGGTTAGTTCAGGTGATCTTTGTGGCCATGGAATGAACCTGCTTTGTTCAATCCACAGATCTGTTTTCTTTTCCATGCCTTAGCTTGATAAAATGTGGAGTTGCAACATCTTAGAAAATAAGACTTTTATTGTGCCTGAACCCACTCTTGGATGCTATTATGGGGCTATGTCAAGGACATTGTCAACTTTTCTTGAGTAAGCAATCTTCAATCTGATCTGAAGAACAGAATTGATGCAGCTATCCAGACAGTTATACATGACACTCTGTGTAAGTTATGGTAAGAGCTTGAACATCGTTTGGACATCTACAGAGCCACAAATATTGCCCATGTGGAATTGCAATAAAAGGTTGAAAAATGTTTTAGTTGCACTTTTTCTTTTAGTTCATTTTACTGTTTTAATAATTTTATTTGAGACATAATTTAGTGAGATATTAATTTTTGAAGTGTTTCCATACCTTTTTTGACACCCTGTACTTTTTACTTTCCTCCAAGCACAAAACAATCCATCTTCTGCTCACAGAATTTCAATTAATTTTAATCCATGTCAACATAATTAATATAATCTCGCTCAATAGGAATGTCCACTGATACACTTAAACAAATCCTGCAGTGTGGTTAAGGTTTGATATATTATGCCTATCGCTAGACATACAGACTGCCACCATTCCAAGTCCTCTTTCAGAGTAAGAATTGCTGGTTCAATAACCTCTGGTGCTATGATATGTAACCCTTAGCTTAAGTCAGTATAGGAATCAGAAGCTGACTTGATGGTGAGGCCAGGTGAAGGAGGTTGGACAGCAACAACTGAAGTTAAGGACTGTGATGTTCCACTTGGATCCTGATTTGGAGAAAGATTAGAATCTTCCAGCCTCCATATCATAGACCCCATTCTCCACTTCTCCTCTTGCACTGCATCCCATCATAAGGAGGGGGGGGGGGATAACAATGGAAGATAATGTGGCTGTTCACACTGGATTCAACTGATATAACCTTCTTACAACATCTAGTAAGAAAGAGAGTTCTTGAAATTGTGGTCTTAAAGACTTGAAAAGCAATTCAACAAAGAACCTTGGTTGTATGAGGTTGCAATCAGGGTGGAATCAGATGGGGATGCGGACAAGTGCCAAATTTCTCCCTCAGAGTGAGTGTATATCTTCTTGGCCACATGTGAAAGGTCATCATCAACAGCAACCAGATGAACTTGATTCTCAGTATTTAAAGACAAACTCCCAACAAAGAAACGGATGATATCAGTCTCAGCTGTTTGTGCTGCCAAAGCCCTTGCCTGAAATAAACCAATGTGAAGGACAGGTAAGGAAGACATCTGAATCATGATTCCAGGGATCTGACATAATACTAGTAGTGGTGGTTGCCCTATGGTGCATTCTGTCTGGCATGCTGGATACAATTTGTGATAACATGAGAGTTTTACTTCTGTAGCACTGATTATTGTATGAAGTCCAACATGCTGGACAGAAGGAGGCATAGGGTTAAAATAAAAGGACCTCTCCAATAAACAAATAAAACTAGAGTTTCTTTTACATAATCCTTTTCCAATTGATACATGCTTTTTTATACATTACTTTGAATATATTTTCTTAAACTCTCCAAGGAGAAAAGTGAATAAGCTTAGCAAGTGAGATCTCTTAAATGCCAAACTAGTAATACACCAAGCTCAGGCAGAGAAAAGTTGGCACACCTTAGTGCCTGGATGTGAACTCAGTTGCTTACAGATTTAGATCAGCAATTCATTGCTTCTTGGCATCACTTCTCATCCAGAAGTGGCAACATTGTCAAATTGTATTCTGCATTTTGAAGACCCAACTGAGCAAATGCTATCATATTTGTTTTTCTTGTCATATTTACAAACATTTTTATTAGTTTTTTTCTTTGTAAAAAAAAAAAAACCTGAGTTTTATATTGGATTACATAATTACACACTACTGTTTTTACCTGGAGCTCAAGACCATAGATTGCTGGCACATGATCTCCAGAACTGAAGCTCATTTCCTCAGCTCCACCTCTGCTCCCCTCTTTCCTCTTCATGGTGTCCTGGGCAACTGACATATACATGAAAAATACATATGCTACTGATAAGGGCATGTCTTGTACAGTGGTAATTTGAATGTAATCCATTGGGTGCACACATCATATAAGATGTGCGAGTATGCTAGTGTCATGACTCCAAGTGCACACTTTCTTTGTCAGCATATGGCTGGACCTTGAGCCAAATAACACAGGTATCATTTGTTTCACTTCTAAACCTAAAGGTTAATATTGAATTTGTGAATGCTCAAAGCCACAACATAAGCAGTTCCACTAAACCATCAGAGGAAGGAACCCAGGTATCCTATATGCTCTTCAATGGCTCATCTGGGAGTGATTCCAGCATCTGAAAGAAAGAAAAGTGCATCAAGCAAGAAATTAGGGATTTTGGTGGAAAAGGTGCATTCCAATTTCCTGTCCAATGAGAGTGACGCTTTTTGATCAATGAGCATTAATCAAACAATTCTGTCAGCAGACAACACAGCAACACAGTAAGGGATGTGGAAACCTTCCAAATGTCTGAAAAGATTCCTTCTCAGTAATTCTACTAATTACACATAGACAATATAGACTGTGAACTTACGTTTGTCTTATATCGATAACCAAGCCGATCGTCTCGCCGGATCATTGCCCTTAGTCGTCCATCCCACAGTGCTCTCTGGCAGGGCTGTAGTCAAGGAAGGAATTATATTTCACTTTGGTAATTTGCCTTTGTAAATACTCAAGGATGAGGGAATGATGAGAGAATGAATAGCACCCAATAACTCACATTTCCATTATGAAAGATTCTATGCATGACATTATTGGCAACTGCTGGGACAGCCAACACTCCTATTATGATGCCAAAGCTTGGCAAGCACTCCCACCACATGTCTCTTTCTCCCACCCCAACTTACTCTAGACTTTTTCTTCTAGAACATGAAGGAGAAAACAGCCATTAGGAATATTAAGTAGAATTAGTGACTGATGTTAAAAATGTTTATCAATGTGATTATATAAAACATTCTCCAACTTGACCCAAGGCATTGGAAAACTACATCAATATAATCCAACCGTGCTTGCACAATTTACTAATGACTTTCATTTAAAAATTTAAATCAGTCATTTAAAAATATGCATAGGTCTACATGGCATCACATCCTATGAGCCATCTGCTTCTTCTCTTCAGAAGAGCAGCCTTCCCATGGTATTCTATTCTACATTGGGACAGCCAAGGCATTTAATACATCATTCCAAAAAAAAATTGGCAGAAAAGCAGTGAGCTAGGCAGACCCCCCCTTCTGCACCTTTCCTTCATCATTCTGTTGACACTCTCACAATAATCATCACATATTGCACATTGAATCAAGGAGGACAGAGAGAGCTTTCCCACACTTTAAAATTCTGTGTTCATGGCACAAAATTTTTAGCGATGAATAGGAAAAGAAAGGGCTGTATGAACATAGTTCTTTTTGAAGAATGGGATATTATTGATCCTGACTCATATTTAAAGAATATAAATTACAAAGAAAGATTCATCAAAAATCACAGAAAAGGAGATTGGATGGAACAAGGCATCACATCACAGTCAGGAAGCTGATAAAAGCTGGCTCAGCTTTTATAAGTCTTCCACCATCCTTGACAAGTTCCAAAACAAATAACTATCAGATATCAAAACAAACAAGAACTCTCCTGTTAGTTATGACTTCATCTGCTGAATTTGGAAATGCAAAATGAGCTTGCAGAAGTGTTTGTATGCAAGACTCCACAATCCCAAAGTATCTTTCAATAATTGTTCTGTCTCTTCCATGGCATCATCCAGTTCCTTACACCACAATCTGTAAGAACAGTATAGGTTTTCACAATCACATGGGGGATTTTCCAGGCTAGTTGCACGTCATGAACAAACCCATACTCTGGAATATTTTATTAAGAAAGGACTCACTTTTCTTCAGATGTTGAGTGGGACTCATGAAAGATGGCAAGGAGAAGAGATGTCAAGGCAAGCATTTCATTAGCCACTTCAACAGCAGATGGACCATAGCGCTGTTTCAGTCCTGCTATCTCCTGCTTCATGTAAGGCACTGCTCCAGTCAGGTCTCCTGCAATTTCACCACAGTTCCAGGCATCCATTCAAATAGAACCTACCAATGCCAATCATGGCCCTCCTCACCTTGCTTGATCAGGGCTGCTGCATAGGAATGAAATGCATTGGTCATCTCAATGGCAGATGGATGAAGGATCATTTGCAGTTCTTCAATGGCTTTCCTTGACAAGTTTCCAAAGTCTAGATTCAGATCAAAGGAGTTCAAATGCTATCAGTATATGAGATGGTAATGTATCCTCTGAAGAAAGTTAGGAATGCAGACCACATTGAGAAGCTTGAATGTCAGTGAGTGTTCTGTTGTAGGTATCAATCATGCGAGTACAGTTGCGCATCTCTTGGCACTCAATGCACATGGACAGGAGGGTTTTATCCCTCACTGATGGAATGATACCGGAACACGAACACTTCAACGCCAATTCATAGTCCTGAAAATTACACCCAACAAGACATTTGAGAAATTTCATTTTGGAGAGCAATTCATGTAACTTTCTTTTACTTTTTTAAACCTTTACTTCAAAACAGAGAAGTCCTGATGTCAGGCAGCAGGGAGGACAAGTGCATTTGAAGAAGTACTGTCCTTTCAAGAGCTCTTGTCTCTGTTCTCGACTCATCTTAAGGTAATGGGGACCTGCATTTGAATCCATAATCAAATAAAAAACTCAGAGATTAGTTTTCCCATAAAAGACTCCAGCAGAGGGAAAGAGTGAGGAAAACAAACCATAGCAGTTGGAGACTTCCTTTTCGGGCTTCAAGTCCTTCATTGCTCGGACTACCAATTTACTTCCAGCAAATCTAGAGATATGAGATGAAAATGGGATGTGTTCTGGGCTGTTCTCAGACTGTACAAGCCAATGAAACTTGCTACTGGTAAGCATGAGACTTCTCACTGTCTGTACCTCTATCCTTCTGTACATAAAAGGAATGTCCTACACCAAATGCAAACTAATTCTGCTCTAAAATACAAATTCCACTAGACCAGTTTTCTCACATTTTGTGATTTTACTTCTGTTAATACTCATGAGAATAGGGAGTTTGAACCAATCACATGGGGAAAAAGGAGGGCTGAAATCAATCTGCAACTTTCCTATGTATCAGGCCAACCCAATCCAGTTTTGAAAATGTCCATTGAATTAGTTCACTGAGGCAAGGCAAAGACCAAAATGTTATATCTGTGTGCAAAGGAAATGGTGTGCTATGTGTTTCTTGGACTTGGTTTGGTTCTCATCAACATTGTCCAGCAGAAGGAAATGATGGGAATTTGAGACCTTAAACAATTTGCAGCTGACTGCAATGGCAGGTTGCACATTAATTGTTTGTGCAGGAAACCTTCCTTAACAATATATCTAATCCTCCCAAGCATAAAAGAGATACAATAGTTTTCTTCTTTTAGGGTGACCATCAGGACTCCCTATCAGTCTCTAAACACCTAAGTTTGGAGACCTCAATTCAAAAGGCACACAGAAACATTAAGTGCAAATACAAATGCTTTTTCATCCTTGTATAAAATCCAAGCTATCTCAGTTTTTCAAAAAGTGATCAAGCCCATACTATTGTTCTTCTTGCATATTGGGTAATTTGGGGGAACAAGGCCCTAAAAAATTAAACCTGGTCTTAACCATCAAGGTCAAATTTTGACTTTTACAATGATTCTAAAATATTGATTGATATTGCTTTACTAAATCCCAGCAAGGCACATGCAAAAGACTGCATAGGTATTGTGCCTTGGAACATTTCCAAGTTGGTCCCAAGAGGCCATATTATCCCTATTGTTGGGGGAATATGGCCAATTCTCAAAAAACAACTCAAGGTTTTTGAGGTACATGTGGAATGTGCTAGAACATGCTGAGTACCTTGAAGCATAATAAAGAAGGCTCAGCAGTTGAAAAAGAAACACATTAATTGCATTGAGAACAAGCAAAGAAGTCTACATCATTACCTGACTCAAAGACCTATTGTGGAAAGCAGGATTGCAACGCTTTGGACTTTGAGTAGCATTGCACACAATTGGGAGACTGTATCTAAAGACTGTGGGTGCAAAAGGTCAACCATAGATCAAAGTGAACATGCACTACAAATGTGAAATATGAGGTCTTACATTGCAGGAAAAACATTGCATAGTTTTTGCATGTATGCATAAACAGTGCCAAAAAATCACAGAATGCCTTTTTAACTTTTTGTATGAGATGCATTTACTTGCATTCAAATTTCATGCCACAAAAATGTCTGGAGTATGTCAAGTGGATGTCCATGGGACAGTGCATGAGAGTATGCTCTTGCACCACCTCCTCACATACTGCATATTTCGTCCATGTCCAGTATGTCTATCCATATATCCAGATGAAAGTGCATTTGATGATCTTTTGCTGCCTGATGTCCCACATGACAGGAAGATGATACCACCAATAGGTCAGTGCTATGCTACCATGAAATGAAGGATGTGTCCATATTACCACGAATCAAGAGGGGCATATTCCCCCATATTGGCTTGCATGACAAAATTGACAATACTGTCTTTAAACTGCAAGTGAAAGGGCTAGCACTTTCTGCAAGCATCCTGGAGGGACCATAGAATAACTTTGAACAAATGGTTTCTGTATCCATGTTGCTATTGGGAAATATATTCTTAAGTGGCTCAAGGCTCATATTAGTTTCAGGGCCATGAGTTGAAGAATCAAATGCATATGACTTTCAAAATATCAATGTATCCTGAATTCCTGCGAGTACTGGATTAATGAACAAGTCTAAACATTTTGACAATTGCATGAGCTCTTCAGTAGAACTATTTTTAAAATTGGCCTAAACTAATTATTCAGCTCGTTAAAGGGATTCATTGTGAAGGGCCATATTACCCCAATGGTCATATTCCCCCAAGTTACCCTATAGTTTCAACCACTCATAATCTCCTGGAATTCTTATGTCATTCAATTTTGCATCCTGATGGATAAGTGCATGCACAAGATTGGCTGGTAAGAACCACATGAGATTTGGATAGCAGAAAAGAAGCATGTCTGGGATTTTTTAATTAGCAAACTTTCAAGCGCCAGTAGAGGAGCAAGGTGCTTGGATTGAGGCAGACTCCTGGTAGGCCAATGCTGTTTCCCAAATCTCACTACCCACCTTAACCACCACCGCATATGCCATATATAGCCATTCTCCTGCACAGTGACCATAGTTGATTTCAAAGCTGCAGTTCAGTTGCAGTTGAACTATAGTCCTAAGATGGTCCTAGTTTGGTCGCAGTTGCAGTCAACTGGAACTATAATACAACTGGAATTTTGAACGGACTGAAATTTTGAAATCATTCTCCAAATCCTGTTTGACTGTACAGTATGGGTCAAAAGTATTGCAACAAAGGAAAAATTAATTTTATTCTCTTCCAAAGAGTGCTATGAACATGTCTCATTTCCCAATGTAATCTCCTTTCATATTGATTACCATCTGCATTCGCTGAGGCATACTGCTTGCTAGGTTTATGAGAATGCCTGGGTCCAAGTTGGCCCATGCATTTTTCACTTCTTGAATAAGCTGCTCACGGCTTGTGGCATGCTTCATCTTCTTGACCTCCTCCTTGAGAATCTGCCAGAGATTTTCTATGGGATTTATGTCAGGGCTGTTGCCTGGCCACTTGTCCTTACCCCAGAATGCTGGCAGGTTTTTTTGACACCAGNGTACATAAGCTACGCAGTGGATGCACGCTACTTGCATAGGCTACACCATGCTAACTGGTTTGTCGGAGTGTTCCTAAGTTATTTAAATGACTGTAGGAAACACAAATTAAGGGCAACAAACCATGAGCGTAATCCGCTTGTGTTGCAATACTTTTGACCCATACTGTACAGTAGTTGGACTATGGCAAGACTGCAATTGTCACTCACTTCAGATTCTTTTTTGTTCAACTGCAGTCAGTTGTGGTACAACTTCTTGTTGACCCATTCTTAACTTCCTTGTATTTTATTGAGATAAATGAATTGAAACAGTTTGACACCAGCCACAGATTGGTGTCATATTCATGATTCAGTTCGTCACTGGGCATGTGTTCCACTGCATACATCATCGCTTTAGGACTTAATTGCATGCAGGGTGCTTCAAGGCTATGATTTGTGAATGGCAAAGGCAAGTAATTTATCATCCTCATTCCACCATGGCATGACAAGGAAAACCAAGCAGCACCAACTTCAACTCAGAGTAAGAAGAAATCACGACAGATATGTATTTATTAGCTTGCCCTTCTCCTCAAGACAATTGCCTAGGGGTGGATCTAATTCAAATTCTCCAGGAGCCATGACAGAAGAGAGGTTTCAGACATACTAATTTGTTGGAACCACAGTCACACTGGTCAGACTGAAGTCTGACTAAGATTGGATGGGGAGTCAACACGAACTCTCACAACTGTGGTCTGACTTGGGTTCAAATGGCACATTTTGACTATTCTTGAACAAAAAAACCCAACTGGAACTGGAACTGAACTGGAATTGGAACTGAACAGAACTGAAACTGAACTGCCCTTTTGAAATCAACCCATGAAGTCCAATCTGGTTATTTCACCCATTACCACTTGCTGATTAAATCTCCAATAGGGGTGGCCATAATGGTCGTGTCAGGGGTGGGGGGCAGGGGGCCACACAAATGAGTGGTTATGTGCTTCCCAGACTGGCAAACATCTGGTCTCCAAGGTATTCAATAGAACAGGGAGATGCAATGGATTATATATAGCCCATGGATCATATGTTCTCAATCCAATTTAATATACTTCAAGTGGCAAAGTACAGTGTCTTTGGGATTTTATAAATGAAGGGCCAATGTTTCCAGTGATATCTTCAATTGTATTCTTACTTAGAATCCACATGATAGTTTTCTTTTGTAGAGTAATATCAATTTTTCCCCCCATTTACTCAATTGCGCAGAAACAATGACCAGCAATCACCACAGACAGCAAATATTATATTTTAGGGAACTAGATTATTTAAAAGTTTGGTAAGATAGAGCAGCAGGTATGTTAGATAATAACCCTACAAAATAATTTTTAAAACCATGTTGAAGATAGGTCTATCAGCTACCAATGAAAATTATTGTGAAAAAAAATATTTGATAAGATTGTATGCTCATTCTATGCATCACTCCCCCCCCCCCCTCCTTCAATTTTTGCACCTCTAATTAAATTCATAGAGTAGGCTTATACTTGCATGGGCTTCAAACTCACGTCTGGAGGACACATGGATCACAAGAATGATTCATGAGGCTGGATGTTGGATAAAGGGCAGAAGCAATTTTCTCCTGGGATACCTCAATTAACTTCCCCTTAGTAGTGCTTTCATGAAGAGTAGTAATGGCATTTGCATTGGAAATAAGCTGTTCAATGTGTTGTAGAAGCAGTCCACCAACAAATACCACATCAGGGGACATAATATCAGGCTTCTTTTCTTTGTTATCTTTGGTAAAGAAATTTGTCTTCTCGTGCAAGAACAATAGCAGGAATGCAGCCATCTACAGAATTAAGAGGAGATACACATGTTCATCTTCTGTCAGCTGTCACTTTCAACAGTCCCACATCAACTTACCATAGCATACTGGATAGAATCCTCTAATTTTATCCTCTCAGTATGAGCAACTAGATGATAGATTGAGATGTAAGGATCAGATGGATCAGCATAGATCCCTCCCTTGCTGAACCCCTGACCATCTACTTCATCTTTCAAGTGTAACTTGAAATCCTTCAAGTTCAGGAATCCAACCTTGAAGAGAATCCGTGCTGCTAGATGAGCAATTCCAGTGGCATGGAACACTTCAAGCCACCCACACTCATAGCAATGGAAGTTCTCCCATGCCTTTTTGCGACATGAATGAGAACAGAATTGTCCTTCAGGGCAATAATCACACCTGTGAACAGAAAATTGTTCCCAATCAGTTCACTATAATGGTATGCAAGGCCAGTACCACAACAATAATCATAGGATCCACTCACGGTATCAGGGCACGAGTTGACTTGAGGCAGAAATGACAGAATTCATTGTAGAAATCAGGCTGTAGAGCAAGAACAAAAGGTTCTTCCACGAAGAGAATATCTCCAGTCTTAACTGGCTTCCTTGTGATGACATAGCGGCCTTTGCGTACATTTTTCCTGATGAAGGAAAGGAGTGCTTCTTGTATATATATACAGGGTATTCATATTTAAACGCAACATAGGGAAGTTTTTGCCGCCTGTTTGTGGAGTTCAAGGCATGCCTTATAGCCCACCAGGTTGTATGTCTGGAAGGATGAAACCTATCCCTGGTGTGTAGTATCCTTGCAAATATGCAACCTGGTGGGCCTTATAGTGTTCATCAACTCCCACCTACGAGTGGGGTATGAGTGGGTCGCATACCCATACCCACTTTCTATAAAAATAATTATCACTTGCAGATGTTACAGCAGCAAGTTCAAGCTTTAAGGATAAGTCATGTGGAGAGCAAAGTGGGCTATGGTTCCATTGTAGATCTTGGGATGGGAGGAACTGTGTGGATTGGGAGCTTGCATTGAAATACAGTCTTGCCAAACCTACTTTTTTGGGCAGGCAAGGTAGTCTAGTGGTTTCTTGAGCTCACAATCTGCTAGGTGCTTTTGTCACAAGTTCAAATCCCAACCACTCTCTGCCTTTGATCCTTTTATCCTACCATCTTCTGGATACTTACACGAGACAGTGCATTCGCCTCAAGTGCTGCCTCAGTGGGCGATCTCCAGAGGACACATCAATGGAGAACCCATCAAATATTTTTTTCATCAAGGTCAGTTGTATTTCTTTGCACACTTGCCTTTTGGACATCATGCAGGAGAAAAACTATTACATAGTTAACTACCAATTTCATTGAAATTTTTGCAACATTACCTGCAAATATTGCATATCAAATCGTGTGAATTTCCTGTTTATATCTCCTATGGTATTCCATCAGCAGGCATGTAAAGTTCAGGATTTTTTTTGGGCCACCCAGTATATGCCAACAAAGTTTCCATTTAACATCCAACAAAGGCACAACACAACTTTACTTTGGGTTGGTTGCTAATTCAGTTGTTTCCATTACAAATTGGACTTTCTCTCTGAACTGTTGAGGCCATGGGTCTTGATGTTTTGTAGCCAGAGATACTTCCTTGATGGTGGCAATTTGTTCTTTCATACATGCTGAATGTGTTCAAGAACAGCATTTCATTTTTTTTTCATGGCAAGGTATCATAATACACCTATCCAAAGAAACATGAGCACTTTCCTGTACTACTTAGGTGAGTATGGCCCAGTCAATCCCTTTCCATGACTTAAAAACTCATTCCTACAGTGATAACAAGTTGGATATATTTGGAAAGCCCTCTTCATCTCAATTCATTGAGTTCACTACATACAAGAGCTCATGTAGGAATCTCTGAAAGGTGGAGGCTCGAAAAGATCCCAACAGCAAATGAACTGATAGCCATTGCTATCATGGGGTTTAAATTATTGGTACATGTGGAATCCTACAACACAGCATGACTATGGGGATTGCTATGAAATATTACAAGAACCATACCACAAATCCCAAAGAATGCTTCAAAGGAACACTATTAATTCCCTGTTGTAGACCTATGATGTAGGCCAATAAAGTTTTTGCTCATGACACCAGCTTTAGAGGGGACAGATTATGGGTATGTACCTGGATTTTAAAGTGAATCAGTGCCTGTTGGCAAAAAATAAAAATCAAACTTCTCTCTTTAGATCCAATTATTACATATGGCCTACTTGACTAGCAGGGTAGAAGAAGCAGCAGGTAGGCTTTCAGATGGACCATGCTGCACCCTCGGTACTACATTGGCTTTCAAAGCATCCCAGAGGCTGGCAATCCTTCGCTGACGATCTGAATCTGCATCATTTGCCACCACTTTTCCAAATTTTATGGATTGCTCCTCCAGATGCCCTAAAATATGAATACCAACATACATACCTCTTTTATGCTAAATTTTTATTGTTTTGTATGCTTTTCACTAAGCAAATTATATCCACAGGGTCATTGCAGGGTTACATAAGGGACAGAGAAATAGCATGTAATTTTACAAACAGAGTTAGAGATTTTTCAGGATTTGCTTGCATAGAGATATGAGGTCTACAACTTAAGATACAGAGTATAGGAATATATCATGCAGTGCTGGCATTGTGGAAGGGGGGAATATTTGATGCAATATTTATTTAATGAGACATATTTGAGTTTCCTCCCTGTCCTACCAGTGTGCCTTGTAAGATGGAAGACATTGTAGAAAGTAGCTTTCACATTTCTTAAGCACTAAAGCAACATCCAATATCTACCTTTCACATTGTAGGCTTTTACATGAAGACATTCATCAATTATGCAAAGTGAAGATAGGGAGAAAAGCAGATCCAATGACAGAGACTGAGGGCCAACACCACTGCTAATCTCTAAATCCAAATGCCTAAATCAGTCATAGCTAATTTTGGGGGTATATTAAATGAACCACAGTGGGCCCATTCAGTTGTGACCCAAATCATGACTCGGGGGGGGTCTTAGTTCAATGCTTGCATTGAGGTTTCAAAATAAACTTTACTCCATGGCAACACTTCTTGTCAATGTCATCAATCCTGGGTATAATTGTTTTTTAAAACCACTGCACCTGCTGAGAATCATGAACCTTGAGTCATGACCTGGATCACAACTGAATGCATGCAGATTAATAGTGGCTACAATACTGAAATCTCAGGACAAATTAACCAAATGGACATGAAGCTTATATTGCCATACTTCCCCTCTGATATTCTACACTTGCCTCATGCACTATCCATCCCACAGCTATGGGTAACCTCTCATGATGGAGGCAAAATATATGTAGCTGTGTCTATTACTGAATAAGGATTGTCACACATATGATACTTAGTATAAAATCAAGAGGATTTATGTGGGGAAAAAGCATGTTTAACAAATGATGGTATATGTGAATGGCATCTTGTAAGGGTGAAACTTTAATGGGGAATTGTTAATGATAATATCAGGAAGATTTAGCCATAAGCTTGGGTGGAGGCAAATTGAAGGTTGAGTGAAACTATTCCCTAATGGTCTACAGAAGAGAAGAATATAGGTTCTGGAAAAAATGGCAACTTTGCTTCTCAAAAGGCCTCAAAGGTTTCAGTTTCAACATTTTATAGAATTTTTGGTACAACTTCCATAGTCCCAGTAAAGCAACACTCGATGGGTCTGCCAGACAGGGGAATTCCAGCCATTCAGCATTAAAACCAGCTTAGTTTTTCTTCATTTCCCCAGAGTACATTTACATTAATGGAATTCTAGATGGATTTGCATTAACACATGCATTCCATATTATGGGATGGAAAAAGACACCTGATTATTCCTTACCTAGCTTGTTTGGAGGGAGATGCAAACTAGCTTCTGCAAGAGTACTCTTGAAATCATCAAGAATCAGTGTTGGTTGGCGTTCACATAGTCCATGCTCAATGAAGCACTCCAACTCTCTCAAGTATAATTTGTACTTCAATTCTGCAGGGTAATCTCCAGCCAGTGCATGCTTGATATCTTGTAAACAGTCCTATGAGGTCATACCCATGAAGTGCACCTTGGTTACTTATTATAACGATACATTGGATAATTAGAATCAAGGGTGTGGCAGTTCAAAAATAATTTTTTTTTAAGATACAGGATGTTACAGGAGTCTCAAAGGAACTGAATATGATAATGAAAGGGTGAGCCTAAGGTAAGTTAAAAAAGCTGAATGATTGGAAAACTGCTTAATTCTTTTCCTTTGGGACATCTGTAACTTTTAATGTGTGCAGGCTGTGACTTTTAAGGAGTACCAACCCATTTTCCTTGAATGAAGCTCCTATTCCATCATGCTAAAATTCCTTCATTTTTGTTCTACCTGAAGATGAAATAAAGAATTATTTATTTTTGCTTGCTCAACCCACCTTAATCTTTTGTTCACATTCTCTGATATCTGCTGACAAAAGGAAATAAATAAATCATGTGTTCCTTTATGCTAACATCAGCTTACACAAATTAAATAAAGAACCCTACAATATCATAAAACTTCATATTACCACCAGTCAAGCTTGTTTTAGTCCAGCCATGTCATTCTCCAGATATCTATAATGAAAAAATTGCAATTACTTTGTAAAGTGGATTTACCAGTGAACAGTCAAATACCTAACAGCAATTTATTATGAAGCAAGACTATGATCATAAGAATGTAGATGACAAATAAAGTCTTCATTACTACCAGGATGGTGGTAATGAATTATCATTCCAGTTTTCATGTAAGAATAAGGCAGCTAATCATGAAATGACATAGGATTAGTGCTGTGTACATTTGGATGAAATCAGCAAGCTAAAAAATTAAATACAACAGAAGGAATTATCCTTATTGGACTAATGGTTTTTTTTTAAACAGTAGCACTCACACCAGGCATGTAGCTCAAATGTGGAAGATGAAGATTTTTTAATTTCAAATCTTTATATAATCATTTCATTTACAAAAGAATAAGGTCCAAATGCACAAACCTCATTTAGGCGAGATAAAGGGGCCTTTAAGCTATGGAGCTCTCTTCCCAATAGGAGTCCATGTATTCTTAAAGGACAGTTACCTACAGGAGGTTTCAGCATTCTGACCAAAGGCTCCTGAGGTATGTGAGTTGCCTATATCAAACAAGGTATAGCTCTTATGAGGATCAGTAGAATATCTATCTAAACCTTCTTTGCATGATTCATGGAGAGGCCAGTGCAGCTTTGCAGATAAACACAGGAAGGCCTAAGCCTACAAGGGCCTCACATGAGACATATGGGACATATTTATCATAGGAGTCTACTTTATTACTATTATTATTATTATTACTCTACTAAATTTTTTAGAGATATAAACCTATATGTAATGTGAGCTACCACATTGCATTGCCTCATCTTGATAAGCACCAAAGCCATACAAGTCACTATGTAATCGTGACTTCTTGCTAACCCATCATGACCAATAGAAGAGCGTTTCCAAGTTAGTAAGTCAGTAGGCTGACTTCACCGGGGCAGATAGGATGCAGCATAAGTAACTCACATCAAGCTCATTCAGATGGAAAAAAACAGCAGAACGGTTGGCAAAAGCCATGGCTTGAGCTCGAGATTTTTCTGGCGCCTTTGATACTGCTGCATGGTAGAAATGCAAGCTCTTCCAGTCTTCACCTCTCTGAAACAGATCATTTCCTTTTGCTCGCAGCACTGCTGACTCAGATTCATTCTTGCTGTTTGTAACTCTCTTTCCCACAGTAGATTTCTCCACCCTTCTCTCCAGTTTCTTTCTGGAAATGTCAAAAGATCAACAAGGCATGCATGACAATTAAGTTTTCATGTAGTAAATCCCTTAAAATGAAAGTCACATGAAATCAGTGCAATACAGAGTGGCCCATAATTAAGTCTATTCGATTAAATGGTTAAAATCCTTTGCTCTTCAGTAAGTCTATGAGCCATTTCATCAACAAATGAATATAGTCATCCACAGAATCTAAGAAACTAAAAAAGAATAACATTGTGTATGAAATGATATTCTCCTCAGAAAAAAATTATCAGAATGGATTCTGTGAAATAGCATTTGACTGGTTTAAAGCAATATAAAGAATAGAAGCCAGAAGGTTGATATTGATGGAATCATGAGCAATAAGAGAGCATTTAATGTTGGAGTTCCTCAGGGGTCTATCCTGGGTGCTTTCCTTTACCTAATACATATGAATAACATGTATTTTTATCTTTAACATAATATTTGAAGCTATATGCAGACAACTGAAATATATTCTTCTAGAAAAGGTTTTAAAGCAAGCAATAAGGGTGGAGGAAGAAGAAAAGTATCAGTAGATAGATCACAGGCTAAGAAGCTCACAATCAACACCGAAAAACTTTAACACTATAATCTTAATGAAATGATGATAGGTAAGGTATTGGAGTGTATGGGTCAAAATTTCCTTCAAAGCAAAAATTCTACAAGGGATGAATAAAAAATACTTGGAGATAATAATAGACTAACACCTAGTTTAGGACAAACATATACAGCAAATCTACACCAAAAAAATAGCATTAATGGGGAGATGAGTAAAGTTCACTACTTAATCCCCACATAATCTACTGCCAACCAATATGGGATAATACAGAGTGGGTTGTGAAAAAGGAAGGCATTTTAAAAATTCATAACATGTAAATTAAAGCAGGTAGAAACAAACAGGAAATTGCATTTCATGCAGAAACTCTCAATGTTATTGCCTTGCCAACACAAGGTGTTCAAAATGTACACCCTTTTTCTCTATGCATTTGTAAGTTCTATAAATAAAAAAAAGTCATTGCAGTGCTTTTTGCAATGTTTCTTTTTTGATACTAGCAACAGTTTGGATGATAAAGTCCTTCAGTTCAGTAAATAACTTAAGGTTTTTCTTGAGTACTTCTTAAAGTAATCTTCTTAAGGCTCTTAAAGTAGCATTCTTAAAGTATTCAAGAAGAAAACCCAAGTCAGTTGCTGAACTAAAGGACTTCATCCAAACTGTAGCTGGTATCAAAAAAGAAACTCTCTAGAAAGCACTGCAAAACTTTTTGTGGGCATTCACAAATGTTTAGAGAAAAAGGGTGGACATTTTGAAAACCTTGAGTGAGCAGGAAAAAAACATTGCAAGTTTCTGCAGGAAATGCAATTTCCTGTTGTTTCTATCTGCAATAATTAAAATGTTATGAATTTTTTAAATGCTTTCCTTTTCACAGCCCACCCTGTATTATCCCATATTGGTTGGCAGTAAATTATATGGGGATAAATTAGAATGAGTTCCAGAAAACCAACCATGGAATTAGGAGCATACCAAAGTGTTTGCAGGAGATAGAAGTTTTCTGAGAGAATAGTATTGGGATTATGAGCTTTCTTTGGCAATAGAGAAAGTACCAAAGATCTATTTTATTCAATGAAGAGTTTTTACAAGAAAACTAATCCATCATCAACTTTGAAAAATGACCTATATGTATAAAGTTCTCTAAATCAGGAACCAGAAGCTAATTAGGGTTTCTAATGTTTATTCTAATGAAATAAGCTTCAAAAGCAGGAAAATGTTCAATATACACAACAAATGCATAATTTGCAGACCAAAATATAACATAAGAAATGAAAGTATTAAAAGACTTACCCAAAGACTAGTTAATTCCATTCAAAAATTTAAAGCAAATTTTTCCTCTACCTAAAGATGAGAATCAAAGCATAGGAACCAGTTCTTTTATAATAATGAAATAGACTACATATTTTTATTAGAGGAATCACTAGCGATTTTAAACTTTTGTATTCCAACCTGGTCAGGGCTAGGCCACCCCAAAGTATTCCATAGAAGACTTTCTTAACTGCTGTTGGCATTGCTGCCTTTCCCTCTAACTTTCCTTGTTATTTTTATTTATTATTTTATTTTATTTTTATATTATTTTTATTTTATTTTTATTTTATTTTTATTTTATTTTTATTTTATTTTATTTTTTCTCCTATCTGCTTGTTTTTATTTGCTTCTTTTTGCGGTTGTATTATCTTTAGCCTTTGTACTTACTTATTTTCAATGTTTCCCACTCACTCTTAAATTCATACAATGATTTATATACGTTATTACTTTCCCACTTATGTAATTTCTTAGGCTTCTTTTTCTTCCCCCCCCCCCTTTTTGGCACCTTTGCATCATTTAGTATCATGCATGATTCTCATTTAGTTGATTATTCTTATTTTTCCACTGTTTGCTGCTTCAGGGACTGAACAGCATGCCAAATAATGGGTGTGTTTCTCTCCCCATTACGAGCATGCAGGGGTTAAGACCAGACATAGGTTATATCTACAGAGGTTATATCTACTGATCAAGATTTAAGCTGGGAAGTCAGGAAGCATTTCTGTCCAAATTAACATCCTGGGTTGAGGTCAAGTACTCAATCTTACCCTTTTGCCCTGTTTTTAACCCTTCCAGACCTGAATACAGGCCACTATCGGAATAATATACTTTTTTGCATTTTTTAGCTCTTTTGCTATTGTACTTCAAATTTATATGTTCTATGTATCGTTTTTATATTTTGTATAAATTTACCATATCATACCATATATTATATATTATACATGTAATTACATAAATGAATATTACAAAACTGTCAGGTGATAGAAGGCCTTTGAAAGAATTGAGCCATGCATAATTGCGCCCATTGTAGTGTAATATGGGGCGCAAAGTCACGAGAATCCCAAGAAATTACCATAGACATAATGAAAATGCAATGTCCATTGGAATGGACACCGAGTCTGAAAAGGCTAAATTTACCTATGCTGACACACCCTCTAAATATGGATATTTTAGATATGAAGTGGGAGCCTTTAAAATCAATGTAATAAGTTAGAAGCAATGTCTGCGCCTAAGCTCTCCAGACCTGCGATTAGACGAGCAGAGAACAAGCTTGATTCTGCCTTCATTGTCACACCGGGCGAAAGACTGCTTGAAATCATCCATCGTAGACAGGTGGAGTTACGAAGTGGAGGCTGCCATACTGGGCCTGATCAGGCGCATGGGCACTGTAGCGTGGCATGTCGGCCCTCACTCAGTGATTTGCAAATGAATTCTTACCAGCTTCAACTCTGTCGCATCGCATGCATGTTTATGGACACTTCTACCAATTATATTTCGGATAACAACACACCAAAGACATGCAGGGCACGCCAGCTGTGATTTCCTCCTGAATGCTGTGAATGTTGGGCATGGACATCTACTTGAAGTTAAATATAGAAGACACGGAAAAAAATTCGAGAAGTTTAAATAAACATTGACAGCATGGAACTATGGGTAAGCATGGGCTCAATAGGGCCAATGTTACTTCTTTCAGAGAAGATATAGCTTCATTTTGCCTGCATCACATAACATGAACAAAGTCAACGGTAATACAAGCTCATTTGCAAATCATTTTGTCATGCCGAACAGATGACAAAAAACTAGCTGAAGCTAGGTGGATAAGTCTTGAGACTGCTGCTCTTACGCTCATATAACCGCACGTGTGCGCAAATTATAGGGTACTCAGGCAAATTCAACTCTAGTGTCTGCAGTTGGTTATGCAGATGTAATATTGAAGCATTCAGTTATTTTTATTTTTGTCTATTTTTCATGTATTTATTCTCCAGTGCATTTATTACGTACCTGATGGTTAACAGAATGTCCTATAAGTTTCTTCCCTGAGGGGAACACAATACATGTTCTATATGTGTACCATGTTTAGATTATGGTTAAGTGCATACCCCCTAGGGATATTCTGCTTACTGTTGCCTCTTAAACTCATACCAGGTTAGGTTGGTGTATATTATAAATAAAAGGAAACCCTAATGGATGTGGCATGTTCCCAATTGAAATCATTTAGGAACATTGGAGACTGGAGGAGTGCAATTCCTCTAGGGCAGGCATGCCTAAAGTGGAAGTGCTCTAAGGCACTTTGTGTGCTGGATACGGCCCGCAGGCTACACTTTGGTCACCCCTGCTCTAGGGTGTACATGCTTAGCTGTTACCACATTTTCAGATATACACTTCCTAAGTTGTCTGATTCATTCAAACTCAACATGTTTATGAACTTCAGGTTCGATATTTTCACAAGCTATGATGGCATGTTGCTTTAATTGATATAGGTCTCTAATTTTTTATGAATACACTATTGAGTTTATTGAGAGATGCCCCCACACATAAAAATCGGGAGGCATCAGATTTGGTGATTATACTTGCCATTCTGTTGGTCCTCTTTGCCCTATCCATGAATTTTGGAATTGTACATCCAGTCTTACTTTTAAACTGTAATGAGCTGGAGCCATATCATACTGAAAAAAAAAAGAAAACTCTGTCTTCATTCAACAAAGAAGGCATTGCTTCATTTTGTAACATGTCAAGATAACTTTCACCATTCACAGTGTCTTCAAAAATGATAGCCTACAATTTTTGCATTCCAAATTCCACATCACACCATCAAATGTTGACCACCTTGTTCCTTAATTGGTTCAAACGAGTGCAGGCTGTGATCACTCCAGTACCTGAAATTCTGCTGGTTAACATGAACCTGAAGTTCTCAGACATGTTGAGTTTAAATGGCTCAGTTGACTTAGGAAGTGTATAACTGAAAGTGGTGCTCATATAGTACATGTGTGTGATACCCCTATGGGAAGAGACTTATGGGACACCCCGTATAGTGAATCCACTATTGCATAATTAATGTCCAGTTGTTGAGGTCATCCAAAATGCAACAAAGATGATGGATTATATTTCATAAACTTTGATATCTGTTAGTTGAATAACTTATACAAGTACAATAAATGCTGTTTGATGTGATTACTGGTTATTGCTATGAGCCAGATAATGTGATAAAATCTTGAAAATCAAAACTAATTCCCTTTTCTCATGAATATTTTCCTCCTGTTTTTGTTAATGCTGCTGCTGAATTTTGTGATCAAGTATAGTGCAATCATTTATACCTCATCAGCTACTGATTTAGCATGAAGAGGGGAATGAGGGCAGAGAGTCTCTTCTTGGGAGTGAGGGAGACTTTTTCCAGGCTGCATTGAGAAAGCAGGAGATGGCCTTGATTAGTATTAATGCCTGTACAACATCCTTGTGATCAATTGTGAGGGCTTAGTAACTGTTGCCTGCACTCAGACAACTCTGGATGACAGCTTTCTCCCATAAAGGTAACAGTAATTTGAGCACTGAGTTTGAGTTTTTCTTTGATTGGTGCCTGTTGTGTGTTTAATGTCATCCCTTGCATGAATGTGATAGCAAGTGGCATCCCTATTGCTACTTCAAAGGCTTTGCTACACATTCGTTTGAATTTACAACCCCCCTCTATTGGATATCTTTATATATAGAGGGGGTTGATTGTAGGCAGTCCATCTGGTGAATAGGTGGTTTTCAGGATTCCCTACTTAAATGTCCATGTTTGGTGTCCTGCACAGTTCTCATTTCAAAATCTCTGTGGCCAACTTCTTTTAATCAGGACATGTTCAGAGCTTGGCCATTCTTGTTACCAAGCATAGCATTAATATAATAGACTTGATTATTTTATGTTTATGGGGAGGGAAGAGGAAGAGGGAGTGGAAGTTTGTCTTTAGAGTTAGTCTAAGGTATGAGGTGATGATGATGTTTTATTGATTACATCTGTTTTGCACTCAGCAGATGGATGCAATAGAAGCATGCTTTCCAACAATGGAGTCAACAAGCATTGAGGACGTTTTTTTCAAAGGAGATGAGATTTGGCTCCTTGGGCGAAGGTATCTGTCAAAAGATGAAGCACACAGACAAGCCTTGCGAGATGATGTGAGAACACGTATTTGGTGCACTTACCGTAAGGGTTTCTCACCCATTGGAGGATCTGGTGGTTGTGTTTCAGATAAAGGGTGGGGATGTATGCTTCGATGTGGTCAGATGGTTTTGTGCGAGGCTCTTGTGTCACACAGGCTTGGTCGCACTTGGCAGTGGAAACAGGGTGCAAAAAATCCAGATTACTTCAAAATCATTAACCTTATTCTTGACAGACGAGATTCACCATTCTCTATTCATCAAATGGCATTGATGGGAGCCTCTGAAGCCCAGCGTCCAGTAGGTGAATGGTATGGTCCCAACACTGTGGCTCATATACTGCGGAAACTTGTGAACCTCAGTTCCGAAGTGGAACTTGAAGTCCATGTAGCAATGGACAACTTGGTCATATCACAAGAGATTGTGACACGTTGTAAGCAACATGCTTCTCATCCTGATGGCTGGACACCACTTCTCCTTTTTATTCCTCTAAGACTGGGATTGGACTCTGTCAATGAAATCTACATTCCCTCAATTCAAGAGACATTTCGAATGCCACAGACTCTTGGAATCATTGGTGGAAGACCAAATCATGCATTGTACTTCATAGGATACAGTGGTGATTCTCTCATCTACTTGGATCCTCACACTACACAACCAGCTGCTTCAATTTCCCTTGACAATGGGCTTATAACATCAGAGCTCATGGTCCTGGACTCTAGTTTCCATTGTTTTGACCTACTCACTATGGCAGCTGCAAACATAGACCCTTCTCTTGCTCTCTGCTTTCTTTTCACAAGAGAAACAGAATTTGAAGCATGGTGTGAGACAATGAATGGATCTTTACTGTTTGAATTGCAGGACACAATTCCTCCAGGATATATCCCTCTATGTGCAATGGAGAGTCAGGAGACAGATGGTGCATCTGCTTGCCCATCCATTGAATATGAAATAGTTCCCAGAAATTTTGATGATTCAGATGAAGAGTTTGAACTGCTTTGAAGAGCTGAACTTGGCTGTTTTTGGGCATTTTCCAAGTTAAATTTTGTGCTTGTCATTTCATTCATTTACTATAAAACTTTGAATATTTACAATATATGGTATATTTTTGCCTGGATTTAGATGTCTCTTATTTCACATAGCTGAATTAGTCAAGGATAAAAAGCAGAAGCAGACTTTAGTAGCTTTAATTTCATTGTCATTTTAACAAAGCCTTCACTGATACTCACATTCCATACACATAATTACTTTGAGATGATAAAGTACTATTCAAAAAGAAAGGCCAACATATGCATCCAATATGATGTCCATTCATTCTAAGCAGCAACTTTGAACACACAAAAATAATGCTCAAGTCCAATCAACTCACGGAACAGATGAATGGATGACACAACATAAAATGTCATGTCATTGTCTTATCTGTAAGAGTATGAAGGAAAGTGTACAAGGATGATGGATTAACAAGGTTCTGTGCATTTTGGCTACAGGGAGAAAACCCACATATTAGATGTGATGTGAAGCAGGCTGAAGAAATGCTTCATAGATATTGGCAGAGAAAGTCTGAAGGGCTTCTGACTTCTCCATAACTGTCACTAAAGATGATACATCACAACACGGTGTGAAGAGAGGAAGAACTTTGGCAAAAGGAATTGTGATTTGATGGAAAAGCAGCTCTCTAGGATGTCCCTTAGACCCATTTGGGGATTTCTCCCATTCCATTGCCAAGGAATCCAAAACATTACTCAGGCCCACCTGAGTCAATTGCTGTAGAGTGATAAGAGTATCACGATTCTCAATAACTTCCCTCACTTCAGACAACAGATGCTCTAAGGATCCATGCTGGTCTCCTGTATCAATGGGAAAGAGATAGTTCAAATGGTTGGCTTGAATGATCAAGTCAATATTGTTCTTCAATTCATATAAAACTGATGTGAGCTTCTCAAATGACACTCTTTCCTTCAAAGATATGGGTTCAATCACATCACATGCAAGACCTTCAAGTCTTTTGAGGAATTCTAGGAATCCCTTGAGGACAACATCATGCATGATGGAGAGATATGCAAGTCTTTCATCATTGGTCAATTCCACAGAGCTGTTCTCATGAGAGGCCTTCAAGTATGAATATGCACCAAGGACATTAAACTGGATGCGAGACACAAGAATGACAAATGCTGAGCCATAGACAAATCCCAAAACCTTACAAACAGACATGACCTTAAGCTGATCCCAAAGCTGGAGAGTTTCTGATAAGGAAGCCTTCCTGTTCTTGATGTCTTCCAAAATCACATCATCATTGAACTTCTCTTTCCCCGTTGCCTGCATCAAGGGCAGGAAGGAACGAACTGACTCACCACATGTTGTCTGAGTTGTGTTGAAATAATACTGCTTCTTGGCTTTTTCCATCAAATCCCGAGCTATCTGCTCCTGATATTTTCGAAGCCAGTAATTAGCATATCGAGAGAGAATATAAGCACCTCCTCCCAAGATACTAATTGCTACAAATTTCCTCTGATGCCTACGTACAAAGTTCCTCAGGTAAGTGAACATGTTGTGTGTCGTGCGTTGCTCTCTTGCATGAAATTAATCAGCAGAAAATTCTGATCCAGTTTCACTTCCTAGAGCACCAGACTTATCAAGTCGATTGATGACAAATGTGTTGGTGTCAATGAACCGCTCAACACAATTCACAATGCAATTCTCTGTCTTGGAGTCAAGTCGGGAGCTTGGCTTGTCCATACACACGTCCCAGCACTGCTCAGTCAGGTTGTGCACCAGGAACTATAAATATCATAATTATGAATTCATCTATGCCTAATCCCATGAAGGAAAACCAAGTAAATAATAGATGGAATAAATTACTTCCTCATCATTACCTGAAATTTCTGTTTCTGAGTTTCCGTTTCAATGAACTGTTGTAGGTGAGGATCCACCTTCTGGCTCATTTTCCTCCTTGAAGAAAAGTTACTGAGACCTGCAAGATTTAGAGGAGAGAATGTCCAAGCACAGTAGCATGATATGTACCTATGATTCTTTTGCCTCAGAATTAGACCTATGGTTCCATGAAAATCTTCATTTTTGCATTCAGAAATTGGACAAGGATAGGGGAGGTGCAGAATGTATCTCCCAAGTGCAACTCTGCACTTGCCATGCTGGAATGATTCTTTTACTAGATATTGATATGCGCTTCATCCTGTTTCATTAATGTCATTTATTCTCACAAGGTCAAAAACAATCATAATTCATCAAACAAGGACCAGTTACTGTTTCTCCAAGCAGAGAAATTTCAGCATTGTTGGACAACTATATTTTTAAACAGGTCATAAACTTGTGACTGAAGACGAACATAGAAACATCTTATGTCATCGTGCCACACATCACTGTAGCAAAAGAATTCAGAAGTAATGAAAATATGGCAGCATATGGGAACTCTTTTCCTTCAGAGGCAAGCTTTTCATAACAAAAAAGTGAGAATCAGTACATCAGCACCATGCAAGGACTTTCTATCTAACTATACTGAATTTCAGAGCCATATGAAGGAATAAATGAATGAATGAATGAATTCAAATTGAATATAAAGTGATTCAATGAGATATGCAATGACATACCAATTATTCCTATGTGACTAGGGTCAATAGCATAGCTCTCATGAGGGATAATTTTTTCTCTCTTCATCACAAAAGGTGACTTCATTTGACTCCCACATCACCCTTCCCATCTTCCCTAAAATATATCAACCAATATGTGTATATGGCATACTGGTATTCCTCTTCGAATACTGCACTTGACATGTCTCTTGACATGAGAGGGTCATGTCAAGAAAGAAAAAAAAGGTTGGTGGCATTGACAATATATCTGATACATATCGGTAGATAACTATCTCTTTAACCTTCCATGTAGGAAAATACACAGATTGATAAGCAAATTGTGATCTGTGATTCAGAATAAATTATCTTCTGATGTTCAAAACTCTTTGTTAAGAATTGGAGCAAGACAAGACTGCAACTCTACATTGAAAGAATCAGAAAATAAAAAGTAATGAAAAATCTCACATTTCATTTTAAGAGCATGAATGGTCTAAAAAATAACTACTAACAAACCCAGAAAAACAGATGATTTAGGAATATTGTAGTCTACATTAGTAGCAGTATGGCATCTCTCCATTTTTTGCAGGTTGATGAAAAATGCTAAGCAACACAAAAGAGAGGGCCTGACTATGTCACAGCTTGAACCTTTGCAACACCAATGAGAAAATAAATAAAGCTATGAGACAAGCCTGCTTAGACACAACACCCTGTTCCTAATGTATTCCTGATACCATTTTCATGAAATGAAGTGCTGAAGCTTTGTAATATCATATCAACATTGCCATTATCATCACTTCTGTTCTATAGCAGCCACATGTCCTCGAAGATATATGTCATCATAGAGATGACCTGAGAGTTCATCATCTGGTTGAGCGAGGGCATGGCGTAGATTACGGATGAATTCTCGCTTGGACATCTTGTTCTTCACATGCGGACTTGTCAAATCCACAGACAGCAGGATCAGCGAGAAACACAATATGTAAACAACATCTGGAAGAGACCCATAACATTTTGGCAAAATTTCTTCCAAGAGGAACAATTAAATTCTTGTATCTGATGAATGAACATAAAAAGATAGAAACCTATACAAAAAAATCACAGCTGCAAATGGGATTAAGGGAAATTTCATTTCCAAGTCAAACCTGGTTCAAGTCCAAGGTTAGGGTTGCATTGGCAGAATCTCTCTGAAAATTTCTCCACAAGGAGTTCTAAGTAATTGCCTCTGGAATCAGGTGCTTCAATTTGGTGGAAGAACCTCCGCAATGCTTGTGGAAGGAACTGGTTTTCATAGTTCTGCAGAGCCACCACATGATCAAGAACATCCCTCCTACACAGAAACACACTCTTGTAAATGGAGATCAATGACAGTTGTTTTGATAGAACTATAACACTACTGTTATTACTTTGGCATTACCCACCACAGAAGTTGGACTGGTTGTAATTTTTGCAAGAAAATGTTTCTGATGGTGTAATTGAAGAATATAAGCATTATTTGATGTCAATATAAGATGCCTTCATATTTACTTGTTTCTTTTTAAAATTTTAATTACTTGTGCATAACATGCAAGATATCAAATTTTATACACATCTGTGACAATGATTTTCATGGATGAGAAAAACTTCCCCTTGTGGATGCATGAATAAGTGCTATTCATTTGAGTGAGTCATTTTTCACTAAGGCAAACTGCACATGGGATGTTCCTCATCCATAAATGTCTAGATCTAGCAAAAAATTGTTTGACTGAAATGAAAAACACTGTAGTAGGGGCTAGATTTAACCCTTTGTAGTCCTATTTTGAGTATGCCTTGATCATTCAGATAGAGGATCAAATTGATCTGGAAATGGTTAAAGGCATTTAAATTATGAGGCTTGTCTACAGGCAAATTTTGGACCATCTGTTGGACTATTTTTCAACAATAATCATTCTCAGAAAATATTTTTTGTTGCAACAATTACTCTTTCTTTTTGTTGGATAGCATATAATCAGGATGACTGAATATTACCGAAATTCCAGGTATCTTCGAAGCTGCTTCCTGCTGAGCTTCTCTGTTTGGTGGATGAACATGGCTATCTCCCAGGCATTATCCTGTAGCAAGTCATGCTCCAACATGAAATGAATCCCCTGAAAATCATTCAAACATCATTCAGTGGTGATAATCTTCTTCCACCTGGTTAAGAAATCTCTAACCCAGGCAACAGCAGTACCCATTCAATGCAAAACAATAAGAAAGTAGTTAATTTATTTATCAAATGCCAATGAGAACGAAGTATTGTCTCAAATTCAAGTAGGGTGGTTGGTGGATGGGGCCAGCACATGCTTGTTTAGCCATGTGATGGCATCAGCACCAGCAGCATGCAGAGTGTGGAGGCCACCATGGAGACAAGTCATTGGGCAGTCATCAACTATGTGTGATATTGTTTGAAGCTCACCGCATTCACACAGTGGGCTATCGCACAGCCCCTGTTGGTGGTCGTTAGCCACATAATGCCCATGACAAGTCTGGAAGTGATTCAGAAGGGTCCACAGTTTCCATGGAAGGTGGAAATCTGGTAGTTTGATGGAAGGATCATCAATTATGTGGTGATCAGTCACCATCGACTAGGACCACTCCTTGTGCCAGTGCTGCTCCACAGGCACAGCTTGGCCTGATGGGAAGATGGCCCAGAGTGGGTGCCAGGATGGGAGGCTATGGGTTGGTGGATCAAAAAGGTTGGAATGGAGAGACAAGGCAGGATTTGCTTTCACAAGAGCCATCATCTTTGTGACTGCAACTCTTTGGCATAGTTGTGGCAGGACTAAGTGGAGAGGTGTAACACGAAGAGGTGTTATGCCACATAGGCACAGGTGTGGTCTTAACACTTCAGAGATGGTATGCATTGTGTTTAGCTACACAGCTATGAGTCTAGTTGTCCGAAGACTGTGCCCAGACTGGAGTGCATCATTCCACAGCTGAGTAACACATTGCCATAGCCATAGTTTGGAGAGTCTGCATTTCTGCTCCCCACGTCAAGCCAGCTAGCTTGCTGAGAAGGCTGATCTGAGTTTTCACTCTGGAGGCCGTCCTTGCCAGGTGTTGTTAGAATGTAAATGTATGATCCAGGGTCACCCCATGGTACACTGGGTTTGGATCATGTCACAGTTGTTGGCCATTTACACTCACAGTAAGTTTGTGTCTGGTGGAGGCATGGTGCAGTTGGAACATGCTGGACACCATCTTGGTTGTACTTGGTTGCAGGTGCCAATGTTTACAGTAGCTTGCAACAGAAGCCAGGTCTTTGTTCAGGGTGACTTCTAGGTTGGAGAAGTCATGTGATTGGCATCTAAGACAGATGTTGTCAGCAAAGTTGAACTTTTGTGATTTTGTCAGGGGTTAGTCATTGGTAAAGATGTTGAAGAGAGCAGAAGTGAGTATAGAGCCTAGAAACAAACCATTGTGTTGCAACCTCCAGGAACTGACATGGTCCCCCAGGTATCCCTTCGTCTTGTGCACACCTAAATTGCACAAACTTTGTCTTGTGCACACCTTGTTTCGTACCGTGCACACTGCTAGACGTGATGTTAGTCAGTTGTGGGTGTCGTATGTGTGCATACTACAATCTATGACCATCACTTCAGAAGTGAGTGCTGTTCTCCTAGACTCCCACACAGAACGTGCTGCCCAACGTAGCGGTGAGCAGGTACATGTAGACACACAGAATCTTAGCTCTCCGGATGGCTTTCTTTGAGGAAGTTTTCTGACCAGAACAGTGGTCAGTTCCACCACACTGAATGTTCCACAACACACCCTGCACTATCACGAAGGTGATAGTGCGGGGGAAGTGATAGGGGTGAGGGGAATGTCACCCTATACACCAACTGGTAAACTCCTTCCAGCTCAAGGACCAGTTCCTATGTGGGAACAGATTCTCCTTAGCTGCAAAAGTTCAACAGCAACCCACAGAGTTAATATTTTGTGTGTGTGAAAATGTGAGTGGGGAGTCCAGATGAAAAGTGAAACTTGAGCACCCTGACAAAGGGCTAGAAGTTCAGGTATACCAAAGTTGAAGTTCGCATACATCTGAGGCCTACTGATGCCTGATTGGAAGGGAAAGGGCAATCATATCTCTTCTACATGTGGGCAACAAGGTCTACTGGGCGTTCATCCTGCTCGCTTTTACGTCAGGCAGTGTGTTCTGTGTTGAATGTGGGAGTGGAGGTTCTGTCCCCATTGGGAAATAGTGTGCACATAACAAAGTTGAGGTTTATGTGCAGTGTTCACAGGATTCGACAGTGTGCACAAGACGAAGGAATGCTGGTCCCCCATGAAAATTCTAAATCAATGGTTGCAAAGCAGTAGCTTCATCAAATTGACCACCCAGTGTGATAACATCCTTGGCAGTTTGGTCAACAAACTAATGTGTCAGATGGTGTCATAAGCTGCTGTCAGGTCAAGGTAAACAGCACCTGCCTTCAGTCTGCACTGAAACCCATTCTTGATGAAGGTGAACAATGCCAGCACCTGGTTGCAGGTACTGTGGCGATGGCAGAAACCAGCCTGATCAACACTCAACTGGGTGTCCACTAATGGTGGAATTTGTTGGAGGATGAGCCTTTCCAGCAACTTATAGCAGATGCTGAGCAAAGTAGTGAAGCTAGCAGATTTGAGAATAAGGAATGCATAAGAATGAAACTCATGCCACCAACCATACAGCAACTCACTAAGTCAAAGAAAGACCAATGAGACCACCTTACCTATCCAAAACACAAGTTTAGAAGGACTTTAGTTACATATGAATTTACAAGTTACACTAGTTCAAGTCTGTGCACTTGAAAGACACAGAAAATATATAGGCTATGTAGGCATTAAAGAGTGGGCAGATCTTTGGACATCCACAAAGGGTGACAACTTCAGTCTCTAGGGCATGACATAACCTTTTAGAAGGCCTATCTCCTCCTTGGCATTGGATATATCCCAAAGAGGAGCGCATTAGTACTTCCAGAATTTATTTTCATCAAGAAACAAAGATAATGACATCAGGTGGCATGCACCAAACCATTTTAAACATTAAAACTGTATGTAAGAAAAACTTATCACCTTACAGTCAGCACAAGATCAGTCATTCCAGTTTTCACAAGTCACTGTCACTTTCTGTATGTTGCTTTCATTGGCATATTTGCTCATGTTTGGATCAGGTGATAGTGCATTCCTACAATCAGTCACTTGCAACATTTTGAAAAATGCTGTCTGTGCCTTGTGAGACAAGGTGAAGCATCTGAACAATCTGTGTCATTTTCTTGAATATCTACTGGCAAGATGGAATACAAACTTTCCTAAGAGGAAAAAAAAGTAATCACAGCTCAACAAGTCCATAACACTGCCACATATCTGAGCTAACAAGACCCCAAGGCAGGTCAAATTAGTTAACCTGCCTAAGGACAAGGATAATCCCCATTAGCTGCCTCATTTCTCTTTGTTATTGTCATTTTTACAAAGGACTGAACAAATTGCTCTTAATGACAACAAGAGTTCTCATCTCAAACCTGCTCTCTAATGCCTGGATGGCCTATACACTCCCTAAAGTTTTAATAAGCTCTGTCATCAACACTAATTCAATGCAATGGAGACATTTAGGCATAGGACAGACAAGAGGGTAGAATGGTGATTGAGCTTTGCTTTTAGAGAGTGGAGAGATTGCAAGCAATGGTCACTACTGCTATGTCAATCACATAATGAACTAGTTGCTCTTGAAGTAGAACAGAAATAAACTTTGAAACATCAGTTTCATGATGGTGATTTCTACAGGCATACTAAAAACAGGCACATTAAAAGCTGAAATGCCTAACTCATTGCTGGTCCCCATTGCTGTGATATTCTAATTAGTGTAGTTGGGTGAATATTTTACATTCAAAACTCTGACCTATGAATAAAGCATCCAGGGACTTGAATCCCCTAGGATTCTGGATAACACAAATGATCCTTCTAAACTGACCCATTAGAAATGGTAAGTCCTGCTTATGGACAATGGCACATTCAAAATATCTCATATGGATTCTCCAATGACACTTTCAAAGGATATGATTTGGTCAAGTTATAAGGAGTTATATGGTCAAGGAGTCATATGACATGGCTGGAAAACTTGACAGGGATAATGGTGTTCACAGCTTCCTGATAAGGTATCGATAAGATTTTATTGAGTATCATATAGTAACAAGGATTCTTGTTTTGCCGGAAGTTTGACTTTCTTAATTTGTCAACAATATCAGCATATGCATAAGCAGATCCTGCCGCAAGAAGATGGGATATTCGGGAGGACTCAAAATTTGTATACATGTCCTTTTCTTGTGTAATGCCTGTCATTCTGACAGAAAATATGCTCACAGAGGATAGTCTTAAGCATGGTAATTATATGCAGGGATCCACATGTTGTCATTGTGAAATTGGCAGAATCATTGCCTCTGCCACAGACCAAGCATAGGATTGAGTGGTGCTAAAATATGCATCCCACACAATCAGGAGTTTAAAGAAAGAGTCACCATGTACTAACCGAAAGGACAGCCTAGATACACCATGAATCCCCATTTTGACATATTCCTTGGCCTTCTTCAATGAATTCACCATTATCAGGTGCCTTGTTGGAATTTGATGCCACAAGACATCTGCTCAAAGTAGAAACAATAACTGTATTTAACATAATTTCAAACTGCACTTTCTTATTAAATTATATAAATACTGACTTCACTACTTTCTAAATATCTCTACTTTGCAGACATCTGAGGTATATCTGGAGTGACATGAGCAGCTAGTGATATTTAGTCTACAATCACCCAGGGTTAGCAGACACTACTTTCTGAGCATATACCCGTACTAAGTATGAGGGCAGACATGCATGCAACATAAATAAGTAATATGCTACACCATAATATTCCTGCCACATGCTAGTATATCTCCAGTTTTCAGCTGCCTGAAGTCTTAATTTACATAGAAAACAGAAAATACAATAACACAGAAACCTCATACCAATTTGAAAAATTCTATTAATGTTGAAATTTAAAACTCCTTAAAAAATTTGTTTTGGAGTTTAATAGACCACAAAACAATGAAAAGTAATCCAATAATCCTATTGCCAAGGCTTTTTATTATTAACCCTTTTCATGTCAAAATGTTTTGTAGTGCATGAGTTCGCTGCTGCCAGAACTATTTCCTACACTGCAGATTTTAAATATGCACTTTATATCTCTGGAACCAGTGAAGATAATTTAATGCATTTTTTTCCACTTGCCATGAAATGAAATGTACAAAGTGTCTCATGGCTAAAAAAAACTCATGACAGTGATTGCTGTCCATAGCAAAGAAAGGGTTAAGAAAGCCAGGTATCACCAGTGAAACCCCAGGAATATGCATTGGTAATGAGGAAATTACCTCTAAAGTCAAAAGCTTTTTATACCTTGCCAGCAACCAAGTGATTGAACTCCTGCTGACATACTCCCAGAACATGACCAACCACCAGCCTTGGATTATTTCCCTATACTCTGATGATAGATGTATAATACTAGGAATGAGTGGTCACATTGGGTGTGACAGCTTTACAGTGACTAAGGCTATGCAGAAGTATGCAAACTCAAACTTTGTCTCATTTCATCACTCTGATGAAAGAATGGAATGAGTCTTACAAGTTATCAGAAAACTGATATTTTGGGGATAACCCTTCCTAAGTTAGTGGGGGGACACAGTTCAAGCAAGCTCAGCAGAATACCTTAGCAATTTCAGCAGCCCATTTGAGGGTCTAGACAAACTGGTATCAGATAGGTACAGATCAACAAATTTTACAAATGACAGTTGTCCTAGCTATTACCTAACCTAAGCCAATGCCAAAATGTTAGGCATCTCAAGTGTCATCTGTTCACCTTGAAGGCATCCACATTGAAGGTGAGAGTTGCTTCATCAAGAAGAAGGTAGATTTTATGATATGGCTGATCCTGCCTCTTCTTGTAGATGGTTGCATGACCCCACTGGCTCTGGCATAAACTGACAATAGGATTGGGGATTATTTGGCCTTCACACTGTTTCTTCCAATATTTTATCCAAATTCAACTGAATACTCACCTTTTCCAGAGTATGTTGTCATTGGCAAGGTTTTGCCAGACACAAGCAGCCAAGCAGAGGTCAGTTGCATTGAGATGAGAGAGGACAGCAAGACTCATCTCTGGTGGCAACTCACAAAGATCAGGAAACTTCCCATTTTCTCCATCCCTCATGCTTAGTCTAGGCCTACCCCTGTCACAATCCCTCATGTTATCATCTTCACAGTATTCAGGATAGAATCCAATCAAGGTCCCTTGCTGAATCAATACCCTCCTCAAGGACTGACCCATGGACAAGGGCAGACCTCGAGGTGCAGGGAGTCCAAATGGATGGATGTAGTTTCAAAACAAGGGCAAGGGGAAATGTCAAGACCAGAAGGGATAGTCAGGTTTCCTGCCGAAGAGGAAAAGAGTAGTTCTCACGACCCCATGAGTTTAGGAACAGGTCCAAAAATGTTGGAAAGCAGTAGCACATGACAATGACATGTACCACGTGCACTCCGCCATGTTGGACGGAGCCCCATACCATTATCTCTACGTCAGTATGGAGCTAAGATCGGTGTGGAAATGCCAGTTAGTAAGATAACTCGATTTCCTAGCGTTATTAAACTGAACGTCGAATAACGCTAGGAAATATGACGTATAACATTTTGATAGACTCATGGCCGCTCTATAGTTCGGTGCTGTCCCTGCTCATGAGCGTAGTGTGGATGGAAAAAATGAGGGGAGGGGGCCACTGGAACTCTAGGACTCCGTTCTCAGGCATATTATGCGTCCTCTCCTCATATTTGCTTCTTTTCTGAAAAATGGGGGGACACAAATCCTCCAATACTACGCAGCTACTGTCCCCTGAAGGTAGTTCTACTGAAAAAAATGAAACCACCTTGAGGCAATGCCTGGTTTGATAAAACAGTCACAAGTTTTTCAAAATGCTTGATTATGCAGGGTGTCCTTTAATTCGCCCTCTCCACTCCCAATAAGGATGCAATTGCCCTTTCTAAGGTTTGACACCACTTGTAGCCTTCTAATCTACCTCCTGGTCCTCCTAGTTAGGGAGTTCCTTCCGAACTCCCAACCCACACAGCACAAGTATATCTCCTAAAAACAGGGCCGGATTAAGGGGGGGGCAAAGGGGGCAGTTGCCCCGGGCACCACTCTTCCAGGAGGCCCCCGAAGGAAATTAAAACCGTTAAGTTAAAAAAAAAGTATTGTATTTGCGTAAAGTAGCGGGGGGGAGGGGGTGGAGCCCCAAGAATTCACTTGCCCTGGGCCTCGCAACTTCTTAATCCGGCCCTGCCCAAAGATATCCCTTGGCACAAGTGAGATGTCCCAGAGACATAGAGAGTAGGGACATCTTAGGGATATCAAAATGTCTGGGCCCAACGACATTCTAAGGATGTCCCTTTCTTGAAGAACTAGCACATCCCAGAGATAACCTCTTGGGACAAGTAAGAAGTCCGAGGTAGTACTTCCAGGTGCCTTCCTTTCTGCGATGGACTCACTTCCTACCACATAGGACAACCCATTACTTTTGAAGATGTCTCCAATAAGATTTTCTAGGAAAACTTAATAATATGTGCTTGACCACATAGAAATTGGCGGTTAAGAGAGAGGAAAATTCTGTTCCTGAAAGATCCCAATATAGGAGACACATCTCCAAAGGATGAAATACAGCACTTTCACAGGAAGTGTCATGGACGAGATCTTTAAGCCTCACGCCTAAAAAAAGTATGGGCTTAGGTCTCCAATCAAGGAATTTGTATCCAGACATGCGCCAATCAGACATCATTAATGAGAATATAACGGAGTGAATTGAAATTCGGACCTCAATTTTTTCACTTTCCCTAGTGGCAGTTTTCCTGATATACGGTACGAAAATCCTTACTTATCCTCAGGATTAATCAAGTAGATAAATTTAATAGAAAATATCTGAGGTTGGAGATCAGGGCCCAAGGGAGACATCTACCGTCGAAGGTATGCATCTGACTGAAGGCGACAAAGAGCACTGAAGATCTCAAAGGACATCCTTAAGATGTCCCGAAGACATTCTCCTCAAGATACCAAAATGTGTTCTGATGAAGATGTCTTAAGACATACCTTACGGGATATCCAGAAGCATTCCACGAAGGATGTCTTAAAGATATCCCAAAAGGGATATCATTAAGATTTTGACTGAAGATGTCTAAAAGACATCCCTTACGAGACGTCCGAAACTCTTTGAAAGAAGATGTCTTCAGGATATCCCATAAAGACCATGGGACAAGTCGACCAGTTTGGGACATCTCTGGGATATTAACGTGCTGTGTGGGGTACATATGCCAAACATTAACATGTTGAAACCCCTGCTGAAATCGCTTCTATGTCATGGATCACACTGTAAGCCATAGAAGGATTAAAGACTGTTCCCGAATAAATTTCATGCGCCTCATTGGACTCTGCCTCACGACAGGGGCTTGTGAACTTGGCGCTTCTTTGAATATGGCCGCCCGCGTCGTCTGCGATCATAAAAGCTATTGTTGATTGGTCATTATTGGCCCTAAAATTATCACACGCGTTGAACTGCAGTGCCAAATAGCATGGGAAACTATTTATTAAAAAAAAAGGAATATCTGACTTATCATAGAGCTGTTACGGGATGGCTCAAAACATTTATGGAATGTGCACATGCCACGAGGCATAGCGCCAGTAAATTTGCGCTTCGGTGTCCAATTACACGGAACTCGTTGATCAGCTTCAAGGAGTGTGATATTGAACTGCCTGAGGAGGAATATTATTTGTTCGGGCCCTCCCAGCATTAGGCTGACAAAAACGAAGAGGAAGACCAGAAAGAAGTCAAAGACATATGGACACCGGAATATCGATAGAGGGGGGAGCGCCACCACCCCCCCTCCCGATGATTGTTTCAAGCAGATTTTCGCAGGCAGTCCTCTCCAGCTTCTCTCAGCATCCCCCCCCTCTCGCTCGCCCCAGTCTCTCCTGGGATTCCGTCCCCTCTTCCCGAAAATTTTCTGGATCAGCCGTTGGACATGGGTGAGCCAGGGGATAGGAAAATGCCTCCAGCCTCATTGCCTCCAATAAAAACCATTTCTTGCAGCGCTGTTCACATACTGAGTACTTGGAAAAGTAAGAACCACAGGACGGAGGACCCAGTTTTCAGGGATCACTGACCACTACCTAGCGAACGGGATGGGGAGTGGGGCATTAAGGAGGGTGTGGAGTACCGCGGTACTTCGGTATTTTCGAAATACCACCCAGCCTAATTGATATTATTGTCGATGCAATGACTGTGACAGGACCTATAGACATTTTCGAATAAGATCGTTGATTACTGGCATCCATAAGCTTATTTTACTGTAAAAAAAATACATATGTTCTCAATCGCGCACCTCTATGGAGGAAAACCTAGTAGTATGTACACGTACCACTCCATTTCTCCAATACCAAGAAGTATATAAATATTGGTTACCTTGCTTTGTCCAAAGGATTTAAAAATTGGTATGTAACTTTGCCGTCAGGTCTGAAGAGGCAGCGGTGTGTCCTTTTCTCTGACAAGCCATGATTCCAGCAATTCACATCTGATGGCCGAACATGGGCCTGGCACTGTCTTGCAGAATTTTAAAGATCTTCATCGATGATGAAGCGTATTCCACGAAGATGGTCCTTCAACTGATGTTAGTATGAGGGTACTATGTCTGGGTTATAATAATGGGAGGCTGGCAAGCGTCCACTGAAAATTGGCGATAACTTGCTTTTTTTTAAACGCCAGTTACAATATGCAGACATCTATAGAAGGAGTAAGCAATCGTTGCCCTCCAGGTGGTGGAAGTGCATAGAATCGAACAGTGATTATTTTGAGGGTTAAGGGAGTTGTAATGTTTCTGTGTACCGATTTTGGTAGCGATTAAAACAATAGTTTAGTTTATATTGGATGTTTACGGAAGCGTTTCGGACACCCTTCGTAAAAACAAGCAGTTAAGAAAGGGAAAAGGAATTTCTTAAGAAAGAGGGATCGGGTGGGTAAAAAGTAGTGTATTGGACCTTTTATTTGTAAGGTAAGACCTAACGTGATGAAAGAAACTTCAAGAAAAAGATATACACTGATCATATGAAAGATTTCCTCTGTAGGATTGAGGAGAGGAGAATAAAGAGTTGCGAAAAGCAGGAAATGGCCAGCCGCATTTATGGCACGCTCAATGTGTGCTTCTCTACCCCATGCAGCGCAAAAGTAGTGGGCCATAAACGGCCCAGGCACTACACTGGCAGATTTCTGCCGGGGGCGGGAACGTGACGGCAAGTTGGACATGCATTTGCTGATCCTCTACCTATTGTAGGTAGGAGGGCTACCAGCTCAGAGAAAGCTCGTGGCCCTCCACCAATTCAGGGTGGAGAATGTAGTTGGCACTCCCTTAGATGCAGTATCAATAGTCCCCACTAGATGGTACCACAGTACCCTGCACCCCTACTGATGCAATGAAGTACCTGCCTTCTTGATTTAGAAAAAGTGTTTCTTCCTCATTTTTCCTTTTTTAATGTGCAATTTATAAACAGGTACTAGGAAATCGTGTAATTATGATGATTTTATTGTAATATAGGATTCACGAATTATTAAATGTTGAAGTCGTGTGTGGGAATTCAGAAGTGTACAGGATTAGGGAAGGGTAGAAAAAGTGAAGTTATTCAATGTCAGAATGGGTAAATGGTAAGCCTTATTCCTCGTACTCTTTATCAGTAATATTAAAATTAACTCGTACTCTTCTGAGTAGGCTCCTGAGCCAAGATTTATAGATAATTCGGATATATATGGAGGCACTTGAACCCTTCCCAGCTGGTGGTACACCACAAACGAGCTAACTGGAAATATGCTGGCCCGGAAGGTGGCGGGTCAGTACTGGCAAATTGAACATGCTGCTGGTGGCCCACAACCTAGTCAAGGTGATGGGCTACCAACTCTCTTCCCCAAACGTAGTTGGTGGCCCACTACCTACGTGCTACTTGGGTACGAAAGGCAACGTTGTCCATAATCAGGTAGCAGGAATGCTCTAGCGCGAGCGCCAATTCTTCAGTAAAACAAAGGAAGATGTCCCCGTTACATTCACATTCAAAACATGGTAGACGGTTCCCTCGGAAGACCTTGCCGCGAGGAGGGTCACATTCCCCCCTCGGAAATCGGAGACGATGCAAGCTTGACAAGATAAATCGATGTCAAAATATGTGAGCATGGATGTTTGGACGGAACGTAAATATCAATGTTTTACTTTCCCGCTTTGTTTCTGCTGAATCTCAGGCGGATGTTCAAGTTGAAAGGACTTTCATCAATAGAAACGAAAGTGGCTCTCTCGGCACCCTCAAAGAAGCGGCACTCTTTTTTAACGAAAATATATCTGTAAAAGAAATGCATGCGTAATGAATTCATGGATTTCCGAGTCCGTTGCACGTCAATTTTTTCCAAATGACGTTTGTCTGTTTCCGGATTTTTGGACAATGTCCATCACTTCGTGAACGACTTTCCCTTCTCCAGCACCCAGTAAATAGTGCTCGCGTGAATGCTGGAAATGTCTCCGAATTTCTCTTGATCCTTGCCAACGATCCTGCGACTCATCGACTCGTCTGTCCTTTCGCACTCCTTTCCTTTCGCTCTACGGCAGCTCCCAAGCGACTGACTGACGCGATGTGGCTATCTGAAGCGGGAGGGGCACATCTATCCTCGAAATTATAAAAATAGTTGGACCTCTTCTGCCACCACTTTGGATGCCCCGTAGAGTTACCATGCGCGAATTAAAGGTGGTACGAATTCATTTGCAAAACACTTCGAAGAAAAAAGGAGGCCACGATTTCCAGTAAAATAGATATATCGTGATATTCTCCTCGCCTCTCTCCGGCAGCAATAAAATCAAATAGGGTCTGAAGGGAGGGAAGGAAATGCGACGGGCCAGGGTTTCCAAGGCGACAACGCCGCCTTGTGCTTTCCCCCTTTTCCACACTCCCACACCACCCATCTTTCCCCCCCCCCCCAGTCGACGATAAAATCAATGTATCGCGATGCTGAAGGAAGACGAAACGATATTGTCGCAAGACAGATATCGAGCAGCCCTACCGGTCCAGTATTTCAACTGCAGTGAAGAACTTGTAAATTGTGCATGTTTCACGAACCATATTGAGAGTCCCTTTGATTAAGATATTTTCCAGATTCCTAATGAAGTACTTGAGTGCAAATAAGCCCCTTCCCAAAGACCAGATCATAAGTGCAACCTACCGTAGAGAGGTTTTGACACTCGGGAATCACTTTTTGTCTGCCCCTAAACTTCATATCGGTCCATGACTTAGCAAATTTTTTTCGCCGAAGGCCTACGGAATGAGTGTATTTAAGGTCTTCATTTTCCTCGCTCGAAACTGTTAGCCACGAATGTGCATTGGGGACGCCGTTATTACTTGTCTCGATCCGACTCAAAGGAATAAATAAAAAAATACAATGAGCAAATTATTATTTTCTTGTTATACCCTTCGTCGTGGAGTCCTACGATTGAGGAGACCTAACCTTCGAATGCACGATGAGTTTCGCAGCCGTCGATCGAAGTTCTAGACCAGGGACGTGCAACCCGCGGCCCGCGGGCCGCATGTGGCCCGTGGACCTGCTTCTTGCGGCCCAGTAATGCATAATGGGGTAACAGATGAAATAAGCTCCTTTGCTGCCGAAGGCCCATCACAACTTTGGTCATCCCTTAGTAACTAAACTAGAAATAGACTGAGTCCTTTCACTTCCTTGCCCTAATTATTACTCACGCGGGGGCGCTACGTATGTCTCGAGGATGAAGGTTCTCGATGCCAAAGGCTAATTTTTGGCGTTGGTCTTTCTTAGGGGTGGGGCGGGGGTAAGAATCACCAGCCAATCAGAGCAACCTTATGCCCTTATATGCCCTGAGGGCAAAAGAGGGGAGCCTTTTCTTTTGCATTCTATGGCCCGCGTGAAGAGTCAGACATTTCCATGCGGCCCGTTGCCGATAAAGGTTGCACAAAAGGTTGCACAACCCTGTTCTAGACGAAGTTTCTCCCCTGTTCTAGACGAAGCTCCTCAGGTGGACGTTGGCTCCTCGATTCTCGGGTGCCGGCCGTCGCGAAGCAACGTCGAGTCGTCTCCAGCTACTCCCGAAGGGCCTCATTGCTTATTTCGAAAAGGTTTATAACACCGGCCAGGCTGATCCATGGCAGGTGCTGCAGCTGTCCATGGACGAGCTTGGAATAATTCAGATGGGAAAACCGAAGAGGGTAGCATCACAAACTGCGTACTACGGCGTCTCGGAGGCAAAGACCGAGGGTCATCGCCGGAGCACTGTGCCACAAATTCAACGACCCCTGCGTTGCACTAAAAAGAAATGGGGGAAAATCAACCTTAGAGGCCCTCATAGGGATTAAGCCGACTGTGTGCGAATCTGAGACTATACTTGAGGGAGTTGATTATTTTCATTGCTAATATTTTAGTCACTGGCAGGATTGAAGCTACCTTGCTTTTATTTGACGCTTATAACGTTTGTTTTGTACTTTTTACTTTTCGATTTCTATTTTGTTCTTATTTTTCATAATATGATACACTTTTTATCATTTTTCAATCTACATTCTTGATTGAAATTGTTGCTTTTACTCGTATTATGCAGTCATTGGACAAAAATCCTGAAAAGGAAATAAGATCTTGCATTCATCTTAAACCTTTTTCTAAGGTTTCAACGCAATTCGAACATTCATACCCGCGCGATAGATGGCAAGCGATGCATCAAAAAAGAAGTAATGCGTCCAACGTCAAGAAATTTGCGAAATTTGGGTAAGTGCATGCCTTCACGATACACCGTTGAGGGGTGAAGGCAGAGTTGCAGGCATTCGCAAAGGCATCTCACTGCCGCGGAAGACGGGAAGCAAATAATATGTTCATGGCATTGATCGACACTCGGCTTTTCCACGTTTCTACAGTCATGTTCTGCAAATCTTTCTTTTGGCGAAGGCGAGAATATTTTATTAATTTATTTAGAGTTTATATTATTATATTCAAGTCCATGCGGTTCACCAATAGCTGGTCCCCAGTCGGAGGCCTTCGTTGGCAGACGTTTACTTGCACGTCAAATATTCTCCAAGCAGAAGTGGAGGAAGTCATTTGCGGGAGTAGAGGAAGTCGCTAGTAATGATGTTGTTTGCTCGACGCAGGCGAAGGCTTCGAGACAGTCGAGTAGCATACATGAGGATAAGGAAGGGAAATTTCGGCTCCGCTTTCTGCAAACATACGAAACCGCGCCGCATCTGATTTCGGAACCGTCCGTGAAGTGTGTTCAACTTTGAAGGCCTGCAAACAAAATGGATGGAGGGTGCAGGGGAGTTTCATCAGCGGGCAATTAAAATGAGTGAAGTAGGACTTCCACACGAACGGCGAGTGGACGCGTCCGGGATTCATCACCCGAGGGAAGATGGAGCTTCATAGATTTTTCCATTGCCGTGGGAACAGTCAAACGAACAGTTCGAGTCGTGTCAGTTCCGGGCGGCTCAAGTTGCGGAATATGTATTTTTTGACGGATAGTGAATGCTTTGCCCTCCCGCAACCTAGGGGGAATAAAGAGACTTCATATTGACAAGCCTGACTCCTTGTACAGAGAGGCTCGGAATTGGCCAATAAGATTTCTTCGGGTGAACCCCGAGGAGGAAACGAGTGGATGTTCTATATCGCCGAGGGTGGAAAAGGAATTCGCATACACAGGGCGCCCCAAAATCAGAAAATCATATCGTATGGATTTCCTGCTTAGACATTTTGAACCTACCCATCTACCCGACAGGATATTGTAATGCTCTAGTTAGCCATTGGATCTGATCCAAGGGATCCCTAGTTACCTCAATTGCCCCGGAGAAGTATAGTGACCAAAATGGGTCATTTTGGTTACTCACTTGGATCAGAATTAATTGTTAAGGTAATTTTGGCATTAACAGTATCTTAAATAGGCGCAGTAGCGTGCCAAGAAAATCCCAATGGGGGACATGAAAAATTGGTGACTCACCCTACATATATGACAAAAAATTTTTTTTTGAGAATCGATCTTGTAAAATGTATTCCAATGACCCCCAAACCCCCCCCCCCCCCTCCTCCCTTGGGCACGCTACTGAATAGGAGAGTAGATTCAATATAGCCCAGGCAGTAAGTGATCCGCTCACTATAATCCTATTGTTTCTGACTTTTGGGAAACTCTGTAGATCCCTGGAGCGACAAAAAAAAAAAAAAAACAAGCTTTCCCCCTTTCTAGTCTAGCTCGTGTTCCAGGTCGAAATGTCAGAGCGATTCGTCGCAAGAATTTAAAGTGCTAGACACTGTGCCTTCATAGCTGTTGCTTCGAGCGTGTGTTTGCTTATTTCTGACATCTGCGACTCTTCAGCATAATGTGGCCATGAAAGAGAGCTTCCCAAGTAAGAGTCCGTGCACAGGAAGCCTCTTTTTTTTCCTTCCAGGCCTGCATTGGCTCTCCGTTTTCGGATCTTCTATAGCGTTTCCTACATCCGAGTCGTGTCTCCAGCCTTGGAGTAGAAGATAGGAGTAAGAACCTGTCAGTGGATGGGGGTCAGACCTCTTCGATGGTGCGATGGTGAGTCGATGTCCGAAGGGGACCTTTGATGGCGCTGTGGGAACGCGAAACTCCTCTGTGGTCAGAGCGGACGGAAGCGGCGAAGACATAAAGGAAGATAATGGGTGTCTTTTCCGTCTATATCCTGGCTTTCGTATTCCCGTTTCCAGACAATCTAATTTCTCCCATTCGACTCATTGCCCTCGTGCGAGATAGAACGTGGATAGGAGAGTCCTGGCGACTGCGTGACTTTGGACTGGGCGAGTGACCTCTGAAACGAAAATTTCGACGGCAACGAAAAAAAGGAAAAGATAAGAAGCTTGACCTGAACGGATTCACCCTCTCCCCACCCTTTTTCAGGAGAAGAAAAAAAGAAAAGACGGGAGTAGAGTGAAAGATGGGGCGATCCATCCTCCCCACGTGTCCTTTATGCGCATGACAAGGAAGGGGAGGAAGGAAGACGAAGCGGTGGAAGTTGGTCGATGGCTCAAGCAGGGTTCCGGCTCACTCCCAGCCCTCCCCCCGTGCATGCTGGCTCACATTGCTCTGGTTGTGACAGAATCTTGTTCATTCCATCTACTGTGGACGTTTCAGCGTGTTCTATATCGTCTGCGGCGTACGGTGCCTCCACTCTATCACATGGCGGTCTCGTTCGTCGCAGTTCATTCAATGTTGCTACTTTACAGTAACAGTGATAGTACTATAGGGATATCCGACCGAGCACGTGCCTGACACGGCTAGCAAGCTATAGCGTCGTGTTTTACTTGGTTCTTCTTTCTTTCTCGCCTCACAGGTTCCATCATCGTTATCTCTGTCATCGTGCGTTCATTCACCGTGTCTATATATACGTTGTCGTCATAGGCGCCGACTTTTAATAAGTATTGGGGGGGCAAGTTCCTATTGCCCCTGAAGTAACAACGACGCAGTTATTCCAGGATCCATTGGGGTAGTCCAGTATTATTATGGTAGCATAGTGACGAGCGGGGGGGGTGGGTGCTGGGCATGGCCCTTCCACCCCATACCCGTACGGGGTGACTATGGGATCTCCATTTGTTTTCAATTTTCCATGTGCCTTTGTTGAAATTTTGCCATTCTTGGGGGGGCGTTGCCCCCTCAATAATATAGTTGGGGGGGCACGTGCCCCTTTGCCCCCCTGGGTTCGGCGCCTATGGTTGTCGTTCGCACTCTTTTATACACACCGGGAGCAAAGACGCGCCCAGGATATTATAATAGGAAGGGATTAACTACAAAATTAGTTGAACAGGGAAGAGTAGGATAATGAGCAAAATCACGGGAAGCCTGGGGGTAGGGACAGTGAACATCGTGGAAAACCGAGGAGGGGGAAGGTTGCAGCCTCAGTCAGAAAGAAGGGGGTTTCAACTCTCCCCCACCCCCTGACTCTTGCTTGACAGGAAGACGTTTGGTGCACTCTTGCGCGTACTCCATTTTAGTAAGATAGGCGACATGCGGTGAAGGTCAAGGCATGACCGATCTCTCCTGACTCCTGATGAAGTTACGAATTTGTTTTTTTTTATATCGATTTTCAGAGTCAGAGAGAGGGAGGGAGAAGAAACACGATGGTGAAAGAAATCAAGAAGATTTGCTGCATAGGGGCCGGTTATGTTGGGGGTCCCACGTGCAGTGTGATCGCCCTGAAATGCCCCAACGTCACCATCACCATCGTAGACGTGAACCCCTACAAGATCGAGCAATGGAATTCCGAGAAGCTTCCCATCTATGAGGTATTTCTCGCATTCGTTTTTTCTTTTGATGGACTCCGGAAGAAGGAACGACGAGATGGGATTTCGGTTTACAGCCGGGATTAGACGAGGTGGTGAAGGAATGTCGAGGTCGGAATCTGTTTTTCAGCACGGATGTGACAAAGGCCATCCGAGAGGCCGATCTCATCTTCATCTCCGTCAACACCCCCACGAAAATGTATGGAGCCGGTAAAGTAAGTATGACTACCTCCCCTTGTCTTTCTATAGATTCCGCCGAGCCCAAGGCAGGTCGAGCTGCGCTTCATCGCCACCTTCCTGCAGTCAAATTAAAACTCGTGAACTCGGAAAAAATGTCAACATCAACCGAAAAACACTCGGAAGATCTAATTATACATTTACTTTTGGCTAAGTGACTCAGTTGGAAACAGCAGAGACTCGTCATATCGCGACCTTGAGCGAGGAATGAATACCGGATCTACAGGGTGGACAAGAAATCCATTTACCCCCATGAAATTTGTGTCTAGCGGCTCCCTATGGGCACCGTCGTTGCCTCTGCAGAGACAATGCGTCACAGATTCCTGTGCGACATCCTGCGCAGTATGGTGGGCATGATTGTAAATACTGAGAACTGCGGCCCGCTAATCCTCAGTCGTTATATAGTCTTTTTTTTTGCGACAGTATCCTTTATGTAGCCCCGAAGCGAACTGTGACATATGACATCTGGACTTAGTGGAGATCACTTCAACGGTGCCGGTGATGTTTCTGACCCGCGATCAATCCTCCTTTACGGGAAAGTTTCGTTCAGGAAGTCACTATTGTCAGGTCATAATGCACGGCAGCACCATCCTGCTGGAAGCAGCCATTCGGCCTAATGCCGAGCTCATCCAATCTCCGACAGAAGAAATCGTGCAACATAAAAAATACGAATGTTGGGTGAACGGCCCATGAACAAAAATATGGGCCAATCTCGTACGAGCCGTTCACCGCAGCTCATATCATGAGTAGTGGCACATACGAGGGGTAAACACTGTACATAAGGGGAAAGGCAGCAGCGTATTTTACGGGGGTCGGCTGCCCCCTGGCGCCCCTGGGACACAGCTTAGCGCCCTCTTGGAGGTAATTTTCTCCTCTGATCGCTCGGGTGGGGCTTGGCGTCCCCACCCGTCCCCCCCCCCCTCCCCGACCATGCAGCCAAAATACGCCACTGGGTAAAGGGACTTCTCGCCCACCCTGTACAAGTAGCCGAGGCTGATGGAAAATACAAAAATACAAAGACGGAAAATAACTCGTTCGGGGTATTGGAAAGTCGGAGAATTGTGGACAAGCGTGATGGTGCATGCCTTTCAAGTCTGAAGGTGCTTTCTGCGTCAGCATGATTCGGACGATGAGATGTAGGACAAAGGCAGTCAGGACCTCTAGCTCAGAGGTCTCATATGATCGTCCTTCAGCCCTTTTATCTCCATTCGGGAGGAAAATGTTGAGACACCCGCTCGCGTTGCTCGCGGATGTTTATATTCCCGATCCCATCTTCTTTCCTGATTTTTGGTCCCGTTCCCGAACAGGTCTAAACTTTTAATACAGTCAAAGCTCGATGTAACGAACTCCAAGGGACAGGCTAATAAGTTTCGTTATAGGGAATTCCCTACATTTCGCTGAAATAAAAGAGACCTATTGAAAAAATATATATTATCAAGGAGTAATTTATTGTCAACAAGAAGGCGCCCATTCATGAAATAATGCGAAGGTCTCAGCGCGTGCCATTTTGCAAAAAATGCAGCTTCCAAGGTGTGTGTATGCACCTAAATGTCCACCCACCACGCAGCAGTGTTTCCTTATGTTATGGTGACAAAAATCAGACGAGTCACGGACGCAGTCAATTCATCGGATATAAAGTCTGAAATGGCTGTCAGCCGCGCTTTTTTCTGCATGATTCTCTGAGACGAAGTCTGCTGAGCAATCAATGTTTGAAAAGCTTCAGGCTCTACATTCGGCCTATGAAAAATAGCCGAAGATAGCCGGAGACTTCGATTGCTGGATTCGACCTGACCATCCTTACGATCCCGAGAAGATTAAGCCTGACTGACAGCGCCCTCTTACTCCCCACGCTCACACCAATAAGTGGGTGGAACATGGTAAATTTCGATATGAAATGAAATTTTCCAGGAATGCGCGAAGAAGGTATTTTTAACATGTGCCGCAGATTTAAAATTCGAAATACGGAACGTTTTTATTCCTTCGGAAGAAAAAATGACTTCGTAAAACCGAACAATTCGTTATCGGAACTTCGTTACAGAGAAACTTCTCGACATGCATATGAATGGGCAAACGGTCGCGAACTGGAAAAAAATAATAGTAATAAAGAAAATTCGTTTTATGGAAGTTCGTTACATCAAGCGTCGACTGCATTTTTTTTTTCTTATTTTGCCCTCCTGGTAGCTCCGGATCCCGCTGATCCCCGTGATTTTCCGTCCCGCTCCTGAAAGGTTTCACTCTTGTTCCATCCTTTCTCACGGGATGGAAACGGGACTCCCGTTTCTCACTGTATCCTCTCTATATAAACAAGTCGGGAGATCAATGGATTTCGTTTATCGAACATGTCAACACAAATTCTGTGACGCAGAAAGACATGCAGAGCTAGCAAATAGAAACAGTCAATTCAAGGACAGACGATTTTCGTTGAGAATGAAAGAAGAGAACCGTTAAATTGGAGCCGAGTCCGTTGCATTTCTTTGCTGCGATGAATGTTCGGATGCTCATGGTTCCTATTTTTATATTTTCCTCTTCGATTGCAAGAAAAATTAACCCGTCCGACAGCTTAGTTTTGTTTCACCGAAGCGATATGCGGCATATATTGATGGTGGTCCGTGTTTCGTCTAGGGGAGAGCAGCAGACATGACTCATGTGGAATCGTGTGCGAGACTGATAGCGGCTAATGCCGTGGGACACACGGTGGTCGTAGAGAAAAGCACCGTCCCGGTCCGATCAGCCGAAAGCATCGCGCACATCCTCCATGCCAACGTCCGACCCGACGTCTCCTTCCAGGTCAATTCACCTCCCTTTTCGTCCCTTTTTGCGCGCAGGTGGTCGTCTCTCCTTGACACCCTGTCTCCCTCGCGGCAGGTGCTTTCCAACCCAGAATTCCTGGCAGAAGGAACGGCCATGCAGGATCTGATGGAGCCAGATCGTGTGCTGATAGGAGGAGACGACACGGAATCCGGCTGGGAAGCCATCCGATCTCTTCAGTGGATCTACGAACACTGGGTCCCTCGGGAACGCATTCTCACCATGAATACTTGGTCTTCCGAACTTTCCAAACTAGTCTGTGTGCCCTTGTTTCCCCAAGCGGCCCCCCCCCCCCCCGCCTTCCTTTCATTTCCATTCACAGGCGATATAATCTCGCTTTTAGGTAGCCAACGCTTTCCTTGCTCAACGAATCTCCAGCATCAATTCTATCTCGGCCTTGTGTGAAGCCTCTGGTGCCGACGTGTCTCAGGTGGCCCATGCCGTCGGCAAAGACTCCAGGATCGGCAGCAAGTTCCTCGAAGCTTCTGTTGGTATGGTGGTGTTTCCTTCCCATCATTCCATTCTCATGGCCTTCCATGCAGGCCCTTCATTTCATTTTTTTATTATCCCACTCTAGGATTTGGAGGAAGTTGCTTCCAGAAAGACATCCTGAACCTTGTTTATGTCTGTGAGAGTCTCAGTCTTCCGAAAGTGGCAGAGTATTGGCAGCAGGTTAGAGGAGTTTGGAAATCCAGTTCTTTCCTGTCGTTGGAAGCAGTGATGGGCCCATGGGAGAATCCCAAATTGAGAAATTAAATTTGAGTCCGACTTTCAGAAGGATTTTTGGGGTTCTTTGAGAATGAATCTAGGCGACTCAAATTCAATTTGGCATTCCAGGGGGTGATTCCAAGATTCAAGTCGGATTTGGAATCCTACAAAACTTTCATTCATCATTTTGCCAGTGTATCACAAAATAGTGTGATTCAAGTATTAATGCTGTGTAATGAATCCATCATTACCAATGATTGATAGCAACATTCTCTGACTTCATTCACATATGAGAGCCAAAAAGAATTGGTGTAAATATAGGTTGGCATTGTCTTTTGATTCAGAATTTTGGATTTCATTCTGAGATTTGAATCTCATTTTAGAAGCCAGATTCAAATTCTCAAAAAGTATGGTTGGTAGGTTGTTAGGAAGCTTGGCTCCTCTGGGAAGGAATCCAGGTTTCATACTGAGTCAGGCATTCAATTCTGGGTGCAGACTTTGTGTGTTTGGGGGGGAGGGGGAACCCCAGAGCACTTGCCACTCTCATCTCTAGATGTGGGATGCTAGAGTGGTGAAGGCTGAAGCCAGGTAGCATATACCCAGAGTAAACCACTTGGGCCAATTGAATCTTCCAAGGTTGGAGGTTACGTAAATGGAGGGAGGGAGGGAGGGATAATTGGGATTTCTAGAGCCTCCAGTGCCTGATAGCAGCTTATCCTAAATTCATAAAATCAGAAATGGAGGGTGATTCTAAGAGTCTCTATAAGACTGGAACACTTCAATTAAATATTCAAAATTCAAGCTTGGGATATGCCCATCACTGCTCCTTAGCTACACTTCATCATGAAAGGAGATCCCTTCCATCTTTTTCAGGTATTGGACATGAATGACTACCAAAGGCTGAGATTCTCACAAAAGATTGTGAGCAACATGTTCAACACTGTATCAAACAAGAGGCTTGCAATTCTGGGCTTTGCATTCAAGAAGAACACTGGAGACACAAGAGAATCTTCTGCCATATATATCTGCAGACACCTTTTGGAGGAAGGAGCTCAGATTCATATCTATGACCCCAAGGTATTCAATAACTTTTCTTAATGCATATGCAACTCTCACTGGAGCTGTGTGTGAGTAGCACCTCAAGAGCGATGGGCACTATTTTAGCAATGATGGACAGTATTTTAACAAGCATTTATGATAAGAGAGGGTGTTACTTCTTTGTCTGTAGTTTCAATTTCAGTTGAAAATTATTGCTTGATGAACAACAGGTTTGACTGACTAATTCTTGAATAAGTCATTTTCTGCTGATTGAAGAAACAGTATGATATTATACATAAATATATTAATAGTGTTGGGGTTTGCCTCTTCCTGTCAGCATCTCAGTTAAAAATGTTGCATTTTTGTGCTCTTGGTTTCTCCCATTGGATTTCTCTACACATTTCTTATCCATTCCTTCTCTTTCATCACAATTTTTTGGTTCTGATGGGGAACAGCTTCAGACTAGTAGGTGTTCATAATTTTTTATTGGCCTTCAGTTGGTCATGGCAGTGACTTACACAGGCTTGGATTGCTGCACACTATTCTCTCAAATGAAATCATAGATAACAAGTTGCATTTTTTCTTCATTCATTATGGAGCATAGCCCATGGAAAGGTCTTTTGGGCATGGGTCATTACTGAGTTTACTTTTTTGTAGCAGGCAGTGGACTGCTGCTCTGTGATCTGAGCATTGTCATATACACTTTTCAGAATTGACTTGGAATATGAACTCTCCAGCTGATGGAGTGTGTACCTGCGTTGGTTGTGAGATAGGTTTCACCTGTTGCCAGTCAGCAGTCTCCTAGTTTTTCTTCAGTTTGGCCATTGCATTCAATGGTGGTCTTTTTCATTTGAATTTCTTCCTTGTCCATTCAGTGTCTGCTGCTGAGGTTCTCATACCAGAACTTCAACATTTGAAGTTTAAAAGTGAAAACTGGCTTTTCCATGTTGAATGGCAACATGGAAATGGGGCAAAATTAAGTACACTTCAATATTGCTACTCAAGAAATTACATGATAAATCCCATTAACACTGTATGATGTAATCACAATCTGTTCCTAATGTCATATCAAGTCAATAACCAGATTGCTCCAAATGAACCATATCGAGTAAAATTGAATTAGTCAATTTTGGTCAAATTTGATCTATGATAATTAGGCTCAGGTTGGGTCAATGCATCAATGGGTCACTTGGACTAGATTTTTAGATGACTTTGCCATTACAGTATCCTATCAGGGTGAGTTCCAAATAGTCTAGGCAGGATATAATTTATACATTATAATTCTATGTCTGATTCTTGTCCCTGTATCCCATATGTACGAGGGTCACTCAATAAGTTATCTACCTGAATAAGAAAGAAACATCCGAGGAGAAAAATAACACTTTATTTTTCAATGTAGTCACCTTTTAACTCAACACACTTATTCCACTTTGATTCCAAGGATTTTATTCCCTGGGAATAGAAGTCAACTTCTTGTCCATCAAACCAGTCAGAAACGGCAACTTTCAGCTCTTCATTGCATGAAAATCTTTTTCCCCGCAACAATTTTTTCAAGTGTCTGAACAGAAAATAGTCACTAGGAGCCAGATCCGGGCTGTAGGGAGGATGGTTGAGCTCCTGAAAGCCACACTCCCTCACTGCTGCCTGAACTTTCCATGATTTGTGGACGGGCGCGTTGTCATGGAGAAGAAGGACCCCCCTTGACAACTTCCTTTTGCGTTTTTCCTCAATGGCATCATGTAAATTTTTCATGGTGGTAGCATAGGAATCGCCAGTGATTGTACACTCATCTGGCATGAACTCAAGCAGCAGTAGTCCCTCGCTGTCCCAAAACACAGTGGCCATAATCTTTCCTGCAGATTTCTGAACATGAAATTTGCGAGGCGTTGGTGATCCCTTGTGCTTCCACTGCATGGACTCCTGCTTGGTTTCGGGATCCCAGTGATGAACCCAAGTTTCATCACCAGTTACTATTCTGGGAAAAAATGTTTCCCCGATTTGTTTAGAAAACTCCAAGTTTTCCTTGCAGATGTCAGATCTGTTCTTCTGAGCTGGAGTCAGCATTCTTGGGACCCATCAAGAACTGACTGGACATGTGTAATTTTTCATGAATAATGTGAATCACTGTGCCCTCTGAAATCCCCAGTTCATGAGCTAAAACAGAGACTTTGGTGCGACGATCCTCCAGTATCGCACTCTCCAATATGTCACACATTTCCTGATCAGAAGCCTCCACAGGGCGCCCCGACCTTGGGTCATCTTCGATTGACTCTCTTCCCCACTTAAACTGCTTGCTCCAAAATTTAATTTGGTAATAAGAAGGCAAAGACACACCATAAACGTTAGACATATGTTCATGAATATCCTTAGGTGCTTTCCCTTCCTTGGTGAGGAATTTGATCACTGAACGATGTTCGACTTTCGTCAAATCCATGACACAGACTCAGGAAAAGAAATCTAATGCGCTACCACTTTGAACGGACTTGAGCCACTGAGCTGGTATAGTGGTGGGGCACTGTCGAGACCTGTCGAGACATGTCACAGCAGGCACAGGCCTGTTGCTCATCCCTTTCATATTCAGGTAGATAACTTATTGAGTGGCCTTTGTATATATACCAGTATACACAGTGGGTAAAAAAAATGAGGAGCCCATTTTATAATTTCTTTATCTTTTAAGCAATTGATGTCCTTTAAATTTACTGTCACAATCATTCCCATGATCTGTCTGTGCAAAAATTGGATGAAATTGGTGTAGAGAAACTAGACATAATTAGCATTTAAAATTGTCAGCATAGAAAACTTCTTTGTACAAGCTGTCACCATGGTCAATTAGACCACTTGACTACAATTTGATCATGCCATTGACATGATTATAAGAGGCTTGAAAAGCTTTAATAGTCAAAGTACTCAAAAACTACCTTTTTACAAGAAAAGAAGCATAAGTCAGACAATGTTAGTGCACTGGCAAGCACCAATGACAAATGCTTATGAGGCAAGGCTGCATCATCTTCATTCACATGAAGTCAGCAGATTCTCTAATCCAACATTAAGTGCTTGTATCTCTAAATTTTCTAAGTCAATTTCAACCTGCTTTTGCAAAAGCAAAGACAATGGATAAGATATTCAGATATATAAGGATATTTCACATCACATGACATTAAATTTTGTTGAAGCCCATGAAAATTCCACTCATCCCCATTTTCTTAAAGAAAGGTCCTCAATCTCGCTCTCTTTTCCTTTACTCCATCTCTTAGGTACAAGAGGAAAGCATAATATCAGAACTAACACCAACAGGAGAAGATCCTAAAAACACCAAAAAACAGGTTCATGTCTTCCATAATGCATATGAAGCCATCAGTGGGGCACATGCAATTGTCATCTGTACTGAATGGGATGAATTCAAGGTACAGTAACATTAGGTTAACATTGAAGTAACTTCATGCTTGATGTTCATACCTTCATGTGATATGCATCCATTTTTTCCCAGGAGTTGGACTTCAAGCGTGCATATGAAAGCATGCTGAAGCCAGCCTTCCTTTTCGATGGTCGAAAGATGCTTGACCATGACTCCCTTCTCAAGCTGGGGTTCATTGTGGAAACAATTGGGAAGCGAATTGTTCGACCCATGGTTAGAGGACCTGAACATTGACCTCATTACACCAAACAAATATATTTTTTCCCCCTCCAATCCCTGTGACCATGACCTAGCATATCTTCTCATTTTGGAGAGCATTCAGATATATGTCTGCTCAACCTGTTAATGCTTCACTCCTCTGCTTTACCATATCCTTTGACCTCACATACACCTCTTCCTCAATTCCCAAAGTCAGGGACCAATATTTCCCCCAGGAATAAGACAAAATGTCAAAGAAGAATGATTCTCCTCATGCCATTTACAGTCACACTGGAAATGATCTTCGATCTTCAATCTGATCTCAAAAAGGCCTAAATTCTCTTATAAGTGCCTTATGCAGATTGAACTCAATGTGTAAAAATGGTGGATGTGCTTGACAGAGCTCATAATGGGAAACAGACAGGTTCCTTTGGATGCAATTAAAATGATGGATGTGGGGATTGTGTGGTGAAGATGTATTACAACAAAAGAATGTGATATATTTTCCATGATGAAACTGGGTTGGGATTTTTACTTAAAAAATGGACTGCCTTACTCAAAAGCATGAATTTTATTTTCTTACATTTCCTCCTTCACTTGGTCAGGAATGAAGTGTATTTCACAATTCAGTGTTTCATTTTTTGCACCTGAAGAACCAAGTGATGAAACCACACCTACAAGATTTACACTTGCTATCCAGTAGTCCACACAAAGGGTTCCAGACGATCTTCAATGGGAAGGAGATTGTTGAGGGTCTCCATCAATTCAAGGCTTTCATTGAGCATCACATGACATCGTTTCACAGTGCGAGACACATCATGCACTCGAGACATCTCTTCAGCATATTTAGCATACTTCTTCTGTCGTTCTGTCAGGCCATTCAACAAATGATGCAGGGTGGCATCAACCTGAGACATGGACAAATTGTACATTAGGCCACACCCACTCCCAGTAGAAAGACTGAAATTTCCAAGTAACCTGTAAATTCTAACTGATGGATCTGGATGCACAAAGACAAAATTTCCTAAAAAGATACCAGCTTGAAAAATTTAGTAGGCCAAACCATTAGGAATATTCAAGTAAATTTGGTTTAATGTCAGTATTTGCATAGATGCTGTATTCACCAAGTAGAAACTTACCAGATGAACCTCATAAGATTGCTTAAAAATGTAACCCTTAATTTTTAAAAATATAAAATTCCATTTAAAACCATCAAAATGTAGGGCAAATCACAGTTTACCCATTAATGCTCCATGTTAGCCAAATATAGCTCACTCAGAACTTGCCTGTTATAAAACATTAAAATTAAGGGAAAATGTAATTACCAAGCTTCCAGCAAGAAAATACCAAATAAAGTATGCAAATGAATCCTGACCTCTTTGATACGATTAGCAAGACGATTTTGCTCCTGTGCCACAGTATGAGATGAAGCAGCAAGCCAATCTTGAAGCTTTCGGCATAAGGCTTCAAGAGCTTTGACGTCAAGACGATCCAGCATTTCAGAATCCTTCACTACGGATGCTCCTCCAATAGAGTTCCGTAACAGTGGAAGGAATTGAGGAATGGCCTAAATATGAAGTAGAATGAATACTTAATAATTTACAAAGAACATAAATGGTTCCATTTCAAGCTTCCAGGCTTAAGGAAATGGGCTCCATTCTTCACATATGCTTCCTTTAAAGGCTACAATTACATTGTGAAAAGTTGCAGCACCTGAAACTAATGGTATCTTTGTAAATAATTACAATATTGATTTGTAGGATTCCTAAAGCACTGGTGACTTCTAAAAAAATTTCATTGTGATAATGAAGAATTAGAAGAATCAAAATCCAATAAAATAGTTAAATGAAATATATTAAACTGATGCTATGAGCTCATCTTACATTGAACAGTAATGGTCAAAGGTTTTTCCTATTTTTAGACAGTGCATCTTTCCTTCCTGACATGAGGCCTATTGGAATAATTTACCACTAGATTTAAGAAATCTTGAGATATTCAAAGTCAGAGAGTGCAAAAAGAAAAAACCCCACTATTTCTCATGGAATACATGAGAGCAATACTCTTTTTGCACAGAGTGCAACAGGGCACTCTTAGAATACCTTTTTTTTAAAACTTACTTGAATGTTCTTTTATTTTATTTTACATCTATCAACTACTTATGTCATTAATTATAATAAATCAGCCTACCTGTTCAGCAAGCAGACTAAAAAATTTGGACTTTTATAACCACTCTCTAACCTACAATAGCTCATGAATGACTACTATCCATTATGTCATTGTTAATAAAAGATTTAAAAAATTCCAACTGGTAGCAGGGATTTTACCAATTGAAATGCTAGCTAAAACACCACCAGTGTTGTGAAATGCTTGCTCCTGGTTGGATGTCTCCAGAAAAGCCTTGGAAAATTATGTTGCCAATTGCCTTCAATTTGCCAAGATAGGGTTAATGAGTCCACCACATTGGCTATTTCATGTGTCTACAATCCACCAATTTCCCTAGGAGCCCAAAGATAACTATTCTAACATATTCACAAGATATATGATAAGCTGTTTGGCAAAAGACAAGGTTATGAAGGAAAGAGGAACTTAGCCTACCCGAAAGTGGGCCAGTTCCTCATTGTCCTCTAGCTCTTGAGGCAAAGATCCGCTCTCTCTGACAACCACAATGGACTTGGGTCTTTGAGTCTGCTTGGCAGATGAACTTCCACCCGAACTTCCATCAGTCCCTGTGCTCTTAGCTCTCTGCAGAAGCTTTGGTGTCCCATGCTGTGGAGACTCTGTAAATCCAAATCACAGTTATCTCATTATGTGACACAAGCTTATCATGCAGATTTTCAACATATTTCAAGTGGTAAATTGATCCCATCTCATCACATCCTTATTTCTTAATGTGCAAAATATCAGTATGAATAAGACAATCAGCTATCATGATGGCTGATGATAAAAAATGTCAAACTTTAGTCAACATAAAGTAAAGTAAAGAAACAGGTAAATATGAAGAAAAGAGTAAAGAAACAGGTAAATATGAAGAAAAGAGTAAAGAAACAGGTAACTATGGCAACAAGTATGATACCAAAATAAAGTAGATGTCATCTTGGCAAGAAATTAGAGATTTCTTTGTATATTGAATGAGACCAAATTTTGTGCTACAAAAAAAAAATCAAGAAAAGTGGAAAATGAAAAATGTATGAGGAAAAGGGTAAAAGTGTAATTGCTACAGGACATGGTCCATTTCACACTAGTAGGTGCATCAAGACTTAGTTTCTCTGTGCTGGCAAAGATTGGAGATTTTAATTGGTATTAATTAACTGACACTGCAGCTCCTTTATGCCTCTAATACAAGATGTAAATCAAGGGTTTCCTAAAATGTGCAATTCTTGCACATTTTAGGAGTTCAAATGAAGCACACTGTTTTCAGTGATGGTTTCAGGTATTTTACAGCAAACTTTATAGCATATTTCAGGTGTTTTTACAGCATATTAGGGTTTAGTTTTCTCTAGTAAGGGTAGGAATATCACCAAATTAGTGTTAACGATTCTGCAACAATAACTTCTATGATGCCTGAAAACATATCTGATATGAGATCCAAGTCAAGAATGGATTTTATGTTTCAAATTGGGAGGAGTCAATTTTTGTGCATTTGTCATATTTAATTATTGATGAATACTTCCATTGTTTTTTCAGCTTGATAGGATAACCAATTTGCAAAAGTGAAGACAAAACTCTTACTTTTGTCAGACTTAATGAAAGTTCACTGTTCAATAACTTGAACACAGTTTAATTCCATTCCTCAATGCTAGTAGCCATATTTTAAAAATGACAGAGATTGTTTCTTTAAACCCCCAAAATGAGACTAAAAATCGCTCTGCTGACAAAAAGAATTTCTGGAATGGAAATAAGAAATATAGGCCCTAACCTCCAATGGGCCTGTTGGTGTATGATATGTAGGGTGGATCTGGTTCATTTGAAGCAGGCTGAGGAGATACCATATCACTCCTGTCACTATAAGATGAATCTGCTCTCCTGTCTTTGCTCTGAGCACTATGCTCTGCACCCATCACAACTTGTTCTTTGTGCACCAAAGTCTATATATATATATATATAGTACACTGTTCCTCAGAGGACCTGTGAGCTACATCAAGTTCCTCAAAACATTTAAGGCTGGGCCACAAAACAAATAAGGTTCACAATTATAAGTCAACAATCACAAAAGCACACTTATGGAAAAGCACACCTATGGAATGTCTTCATCTACTTCACTCTTGGCCATCATCTCCAAATACTGCTGATAGGTTATCTTGGAGGGCACAATGTCTTGGAGAAACTCATATCTCTCTATTCCCTGAACAATGTTGGCAAGATCTCCATAGGTCACATGCTGTCCATCCTTGCTTCGCAGCAGAGCTTTGCGTATCAAGTGTTGAATGAAAAGTTCAGTGGCCTTAGCTATTAGAGGAACAGACTCTTGTCCAATGCTCTCAGTCTCAGGGGAACTTTTCATAATCATTCGAATACGAGAGACAGGGAGCATTAGTTCCCTCTGCTTCTTTTCTGGATCTGATGCCATCTATGACATAATAGGCTCTTGATATGAAGAAAATGATGAGAGAATAAGTCTAGTCTGGGTCTAGGCCTATAGGCCTATACTCCAGTTTAAGAGCTATGTGACATCCAAGAAATAAATCACAGTAGAGTTGATTAAATCTGCACACTCTGCAACTGAGACATGGATGGGATTTGCAGGATCTCAATGAAACAATTGGATTCTATGAGAGAAAAATATATAACATCTAAGTTTTATTAGGGTAAATATATTTATCCTGGTAGAACAGGGCATTTATAAGGGACTTGTTTGACCTGGTAGCTAATCAAACCAACCACCTCTCTAATCTAGCTGGATGAGATAGCAACCTAACAAGAAACCACGCTCTCCCTTGCAGATGAAAATTCCATAAACATAAGCCATAAACCTTTGTACACCATTCCTACAGGGATCTATATAAAAATGGCATATATCTCAATCATTTTTTCAATTCTGGAAAGGCTCAACAAGCATACACAACAAGGACTTTTATTGAAAGCAATACCAAGTCATTTTGTTTTCTTCTTTTCTTTTTCTACATCCAAGCTCATGCTCTATATCTTGCCTTGGAACACTTTATTCTTCCAATCAATAAGTTCATAAAGGATATTCAATATATTACTGGAAGGATATAGGACTATCTCATTCTTGATAAGATTATGCACAGAGAACCAGTAACAATGTTCAATTCTGGAGAAAACATCTCATGTAATTTCTTTCTCTTATGAGATATTGCAGGTGGATATAGAGAGTAGATGACATCAATAGTCAATAACAAAAGAACTAAAGAACTATATTTTCTAGAGTCATGATATTTTAGCTCTCAGTTCACATCGACAGTAAAATCTAACTCAATGAATTTGGTCTCACTTCCTCAAAGTTCAGTTTAAAAATAATTAAGCCTATTGGACCAGAATCTCATGTTCTACTGATATTGTCCCTTTTTATTCATGAATCAAGTCAAACAAAAATGGCTAGAATGAAAGAAAAATCCCCAACTACTACCATTCCCATAGTATAATGTGCCTTCTGTTATTATCCATAGCTATCTCCAGTCTGCCTGAAATACTTGTAATTCTCAGCAAATGCTCAGGTCTTTCCACATGCAGTCATTTGAATTTCTTCCACAATTGCATCTTTCAGTTGGAGGCTTCCCCTTTCATATAGATGTTCTACAGCTACAAGTAAAGGAGATTGAAGTCAGGTGAATAAACAGATCATTTGGAGAGAAAATTGGGGCTAATGGTCAAATCTTGACTGAAACAGTTAAGAAAGAATCTTGCTGGAAGCCATATACTCTGACTCCTCATAAAAGGATTGAAATCATCCAAAACAGCACAAAATAGACTAAATAAATTAATATCCATAAGTGAGGGGGATATGAAGAGAAGCCTTCTTTTGCTTCAAGTACCAGGTCAACAGTTTGAATATCACAAACGTTAGACACAGAGAGTAAAAATTTTTGCAATACTTTGACCAGGGCATGATATAAATTTTCCCATACTGAAACTGATATTTTGCCAATTGAGGCTAAAATCAGATTCATAAATTTTACTACCCCCACAAACAAAATACAAAAACTTTCATGACAAGGGGAAATCCTTGTCATGAAAATTTTTGTATTTTGTATGAGAGAAGAGGCCTAAGTCCTGCACTAGTCGAGGAGAGAACACTCAGACCAGCCAGCACCACCAAAACAGCACTGAAACCCTTGAAAATTGTGACAGAGTTCAAGATTCAAGATAGTTTGTGATGGTAATGGATATCAAGATATCAACGGATATCACCGTTTGTGATATCAAGAGGCGATTTCGCCAATTCGATATCACGTGTTGAGGTCAAGCGGTCCTTAATTTTAGGGTAGGCCTAACCCTCTTAAAGCTAAATATTTTTGTTTATTTGCCTATCCTAGTTGCTGACTGTATAGTACCTAACGTCAACATTGCCCCCCCACCGTTTTGCCTGTCCATGAAAGCATCCAGTTTCTTCTTAAAGATAGTCATAGAAGGGGCAGCCACTACTTCACTCTTGGCCATCATCTCCAAATACTGCTGATAGGTTATCTTGGAGGGCACAATGTCTTGGAGAAACTCATATCTCTCTATTCCCTGAACAATGTTGGCAAGATCTCCATAGGTCACATG